CTAAAGACATTGTGCGGATATGCTTTGCTGTCATTTGGCTGTAAAGCTTAACTCGTCTGATGTGAAATGAATGATTTGCATTATTTAATAATAATAATAATAAAAAGTAGAACATCACATCAAACTTTTTATTCACTAGATACATCTTTAAGCAGGGAAAATAAATGACCAGTCTCAGGTGGCTTGGTCGATATGTGGGCTCGTAATAGCTGTGTTATTGTACACCGATTAAGTTGTGGGTTCAACTCCAGGTTTGATTTTGAGCCAGCCAATAATTAAATGAGATTCGCATGTTGGTGGTCATAGGCCAGTCGGTAATGACTACGTAATGATATGCATTAAGATTTTAGTTTTCTCTCTCACCTGCTTAAATGCATTCTGGGACAGAGTCGCATTAAACCTGCGGCGATGTGGACCAACGTTGTCATTGCCATTGATGGGCCAAACTGGCAAAGCAAATGTGTTGCGGCTCTTTCGTCAAGATATGAACCTGGTCCCACTGCTCCTGAGAGCTGTCATTAGTCAATAGAACAGATAACTGGCACGAGGTGAACCACCAATTGGAAAGCATCAGGGAACTCCATCGACTGTTGAGGCAACTGCATTGACCACCTGCATGTGAAATTGTAGTTGTTGCTCTGCATCTACATCAGCCGTACTAAAGAAGGAAGAAGTGAGTGTTGTGCTCTATGGTGACACACGCCTGTAATCCAGCACTGTGGAAGCAGCGAGGGTTTGTGGATCACGCCACTGTTATGAATTATCTTCCTGTGTGGGTCAAAGTGCCATACCCTGGCTCGCCAGAAGACGGTGGTTACAGCAAGGGGACTGATCGCCATCTGTTTCCATCTGTACGGGGATAGAGCGTTGCCCCCTCGTGTGTGTGGGTTTTATCCGGATGCTCCGGTTTCCTCCGATTTGTAATAACAAACACAACCCTTCAATAATTGGCTGGAAAAAAAATATTAAAATACAAAACCAATGCAGGACCCACCTGAAAAAGAGTCATTTGACTCAGTGTGGCTATCCTGTATAAATAAGTAAATTCTTCTCCTTCATATGTCCTTGTTCTTACCTTCCAGGGCCTTTCCCAAAGACAAATACGTCCCTTGTAGCCTTCACAGGCTGTTGGGGCAAGTGTTGTTAGCGAGCACCTATTAAGGCGGGCATTATGTACAAGGGGGTGGGTGGCCAGCACCATGCCCAGATGCCTTTGTCCCCCCAGTAGTGATGTTTGCACATCACATCAGGTACTCATTTGAGGCTGAGTCAAACTCGGGGAGGTACAGGACTGGTTAAGATGTTTGGCATCGAACTCAGGTCACCAAATTCACTTGCGCAATGCGATAACCACTACACTTCCACTCCCCACTAAGGGCCTTTCCTCGACACAATATGAGGCACTGCTGACAGCAGGCCTTCATTAAATAATATTACGCCTAATTAAGCGGCTCCAGTAGGAGAGTGGAAGTGCAGCAGTGCTAAAATCCACGCATGTAAAATAAGGCAGCTCAAATGCGCAGATTATTTAATAACCACACGCATTCAACAAAAGACCACGATGTAATGCATGGAACCATCGGCACGGATGAGTGTACGTAAATTATTATATAATCGCGCGGCACCAGACTGTTGTACGTGAAAAATGTATCTCGGTCGCCACTTTGCAGATATGATTGATTGGCTCTTTTCATCTTTACTGAGGCTCACGAAGCTGACTGAGCCCATCCTAAGCATGCGCGTATCGACGTTACAACCCAATTAGGGTGGCCTCTCCTGTCCATCGAGGTGCTTCCTCTCTCTACCCCCCCCCCCTACCACCGCCGCGTCACGCAAAAAAAATCTACGTCGACACATCACCCGGTTGAATCGTCGATTTCGCAAAATTGATTTCCATTGCGGTGTGTGCGAAATGAAGTGATCTGTTTTCAGTGACGATCAAATGCGCTCGCGATGAGCTCATCTCAGAGGATGGGGAAAAAGTCATCTGTAATGAAATCCCAAGTGCTTTACTGGGGGGGGGGGGGGGGGGGGGGGGGGGGGGGGGGCGGTGGGGGGGACGTTAATCTGCGGGGCGACCAGAAATTGTAATCATAAGGGGTCACAGAGGGCTGTGTTATGACCTTTTTGAAGTTGGTTAATGCCATGCATTCCCATTTTTATTCTTCAAAGGTCGAAGGCCAACCAATCATTTTCACTTTAAGCCTGTAACCTTTTGACGGTCTGGGGCTGGTGTGGGACTGTGAGTGTCAAGGCTTTTTTTCTATCAGTTCTGTTGCCGTCAGAAGGTAGCACTTGGACACATTTTACAGACTTGCATCTGAGCTCTGTCTTTTGTAATTATTCAAGAAATTAACTTGATCATTGACTGTATGAGGATGTACTGTGAGTAGGCTGCAGACCTTTCGTTGTGGAGTTTGAGCATCATCCCCGTGTATGCTTAGGTGTTCTCCAACATTAAACAAAAACAGTCAAAGAATTGGCCAATTTCCCTAGCCAGGAACTCTCCTGAAACAAAATCTGGAGACTCGGTAAGACTTCCCAGGGTGAATAGACAACATGCGTGAACGTGGAATGAAATATAACGCACTGTAATGAATTCTGTAACTGTAATTCAGTCACGCAAAGGTCTCATATTAAGCCTCTTAAAATCTCTTCGAATCCTCCCTCACCAATCACCATCACCTTACCATGATGCCTCAACCGTGCATTATGGTTTTGAGAGCTTAAACGAGTATTAGATAAATAACTACCACTTTGTGGAAATCAACAGTGGTTAGTTTACAGTGTTACCACTCAATATCTGTTTCTCATTAGTAGTAATCGGCAATCCCCTTCGCTAACCCAGAACCATTGTCTGTCGCCATTGTCTTAGCTGTGGGCCCAAAGGTGGCTGCTGAGGCCGATGCCGGATCCACAGACTCTGTGGTTGTTTTTCTGGTTGTTGATTTTCCGGTTGTTGATTTTCTACTTGTTGATTCCGGTTGTTTTTCTTGTTGATTTTCCTGTTGTTGATTTTCTGGTTGTTGATTCCGGTTGTTGATTTTCTGGTTGTTGATTTTCTAGTTGTTGATTTTCTGGTTGTTTTTCCATATTCTTTGGTTTTATTCGGTAAAGTCACGTAGGTAAAATAAAGTAAAATAAAAGAAAACAATTAAATCACGACGTTTCGGAGGCAACACAAGCTTTCGTCTTCAGGTGGAATAGTCACAGCAGAAAATCTGTGTTGTTTTTCCAGTTGATTTTCCGGTTGTTGATTTTCCAGTTGTTGATTTTCTGGTTGTTGATTCCGGTTGTTTTTCAAATTGTTGATTTTCTGGTTGTTAATTCCAGTTGTTGATACCGTTTGTTCATTCGCTCTGCGACAACGCTGCCGTTTTTTTCCTCCTCCCTAGCTCCCGCCTGTTGTCTTCGTATATATTTTAAAGTGCAGAGCTCCTTGCAGCAGCCTAAGGTGCCATGCGTCGCACTTCTTCATCTTGCCCTTGAGGGGAGATGGATCTGGAAAGATTGGCCAACTCGCAATCAAAGTGTTGCCAGTTCAAATCCCAGTTGGGGTTCAGCTCAGCGCATTATCGTCATCATCATCATTCCTTCAATGAATCAATGAAATTGCAATCACTCTTTGGGAATGTTACCGTTGTTGCATTTTGGGGCCACACCATATAAATGTTATCCACAATTGGTCCAGAGGTGCTCACTTGAGCAGGGATACACTTTGACGAAGACATTTTGATGCAATTATGATTTTAAAACCAAATGCTCTACAGACAAAATGCATGTTTTTGGTTGTTTAGGATACAGATAATGACCAAACGTTCCTTTTTGAAGACTTTTGTTTTTAAAAGTTATTTCTATGAAGTAACTTTAATTCACATGAGTCAATTAGCTCTGACCAAATTTCCTCTTTTAAGAACAGGTTTTTGCCAGAACTGGCCTATGTTGAAAGGTCGTGAGTCCAAATCTCGCTTGGTAGTCGACTCAGCCCATCATCCTTCCAGGGTCGATACAATGACAGTACTGTACCACTTTTTTTTAAAGAGCCAACCTTGGTCATCTTGTGATACGCCGTCCCTGCCATAGCAATGTGGAAATTTCCACCACATGCTCAGGGCCTCCAATTGAGATTAATGCCGCCCGTTGCTCATTTGGCCACAGTCACCAAAGTTGACTTCCCACGTGACATGCATGCACAGCCGCACCAGTAAACATGCAACTTTGGGCCAACGTTCACACGTAGTTGGAAACCATTGGACCAACGTTGGCACAATGTTGGCCCAACGTTCCGTATTTACTGGGCCTTTCGTCAATTCCCTGCTGGATGAGGGCATCGCCATGCTGTGCATGTCATGAGGGTTGTTTGACTCTGGTCAACGCAGGTCGGTGAACATAGGGGGCATAGATGTAGTTACGTAGATGTACTCTACAACAATGCATTTTTCTGCCCTCCCCTCTGCTGTCCACAATAATAATGTATTGACACACGAAAGAAAACAGAGTATGGGAATTCTTCCTCCCTTCGGGTGGCGGGAAATTTATCAGCAATGTTTCTATGTTGGTGTCCAGGTTGGCGAGTGAGCCAGTGAGTGACTTCAGGAGTAGCCTGGTGAATATATAGGGGCGCCACGGTGTCAAGATGTTTACTACCTCACCTGGTATCCAGGAGATCGTTGGTTTGATCCCAACCCTGATGCCTGTATATTTGGAGTTTGCATGTTCTCCCTGTGGTCGCATGCATTTTTTCTCTGGGTCCTTCGGTTTTTCCCTCCACATTTAGAAACGTGCGATGAGAGTATTTGGCTGCTATACATTTACACGTGATAAGCCACTTAATTAGGCTACCATTTGTGGCCAGGTCGCTCCTGAAAAAGACCTACACAGTTGATAGTTTTTTTATAACGTGCAACCAAGTAACGGTGCCGGATTACCGGCCCCTGTAACTGCGTCATCCGACGACGATAACGCGTTACTCCGTCCGCGTCTTTTGCCGCGGTATGCAGGTGCGGACAGACCGGCTCACACCCCCGTCACCGTCGCTGCCAACGCCAACAACGTCAACAACGCCACCATGCCCAAGCAGGTGGAGGTCCGCATGCATGAGAGCCACCTGGAAGTGCCCCCGTCGCAGGGCCGGCGCGGCTGCTGGCAGTACCTGAAGGGCACCTGCCTGTGCAAAAACCCGCTGCTCACGCTCACCGTCGTCGGTACGTCCGCACTTCCACTCCCGGCCGGGTTCTGCTCGATCGCTATCGGGCAGATGAGCGAGAGACGACGTCGAACGGGCTTGCCGGGCCAGTATGACGCGGCTACGGAGGCTCTAGGTTATTTTTTTGCCATTGAAGGACCCGAACCGTGCTGCCGACTTCACTCGAGATGACCCATGTTAGCCATGCCCAGGAATCACAACTCGGGTCGCCGGGTTCGCAGTGTAGTGCATTAACAAATAATGGGTGCCATTGTGGCGAGATATTAACTACCTTTCCCAATATACAGGAGGCCGTGGGTTCGATTCCAACCCTGACGCCTGTAAATTTTGAGTTTGCATGTTCTCTCTCCCCGTGGTCGTGTGGATTTTTCTCCGGGTCCTCTGGTTTTTCCCTCCATATTTAGAATCAACATGCATTTAGAGCATTTGGCTGCTATAAATTTCCACGTTATAAGACACTTCGTTACGCTATCATTTGTGACCAGGTCGCTTCTGAAAAAGATTAAAATAGTGAAGAGTAAATAATAGATTTGGGGTTATTTGTTAAATACACAAAATAATTTAACTTGGGCACGTGGGTATTATTGTACCCATACACACTTACACATGCTCTATTCCCATATAAGCTGCAAGGATGTTCATTACAGCATGGACACACTTTTAGGGAGAATCGTGTTTGTGGACCACTTTTACGGCCAAACATTAATGGACAGCATTACCTTTTGTCACATCCATGAGTTATGTCAGCTAGGTCTGTTTTGGTGGGTCACCCGGACATTATTTCTGCACACGGCACACCACATCCAGTATACCTTGTCGATGTTGCTGCGGCTACTGGTCACATGTCTACTCCAGTCTAACAGTGACCTTGAATGTATTCGTTGAGAAATTAAGCTCTGGGCACACACTGTACGCATAATACCTGAAGCCGTAGCTGAAGCAGCCCCGGTGTATTTGATACGCATGCTTAAGGAGGTGTATTCATCTCTAATTGAGCAATCTTACTCTGTATATAGGGGCTATTCATAGACGTGAACGCGCGTACAAATTGCAGCGCACATGCTCTGACCCGCTGGCCACCTGTGCGGACAAGTTTAGCTCATTGTGCAACACATCCTTGTTAATGAAAAAATCCCCCTGACCTACCTCTGCAGAAGTCATCGCAGTCTGCAGGCTACGCGCGATGTACGTCACTCGCGGTCCGGGCTTAGCGCGTGCTTTACAGCTTTAAACACGGGCACAACGCGACTCGTTTGCGCGTATGTTGTGAGCGTGCGTCGCAGTGTTGGAGCGGTTATCGCACTACTGCTGCTAACCCAGAGGCCCCAAGTTTAATTCCCGCTTGTGGCCAACACTAGTGACGATTATCTGAACCGGTCCTGGGCCCCCCCTAGGTTGGCTCAGCCTCAAACGAGGACCTGGTGCGGTGTGCAAACATCATTAGTGGGGAGAGAAAGGTGGCAGTGTGTAGTGCCATGTATTTCAAACCAAAATCAAATTGCCTCCATTTACCTGACGAGCACTGGGTTTGCGCCTTATCCCCAGTGGCGACTGTTAACGAGGGGTGGAAATTTAAAATTCGTATGGCAGTGGAAAGTCTGTTCAAAGGACAACCACTGTTGACTTCCCACAAAGTGGTAGTAATTTTTTTGATTCTGGAGGAAAAGTGATGATGTGCTTAAGTTGATGCCCAGCCTAGATGACACTATGACTATAGCACCACCATTCTCTATAGGTATTTAGCCCTTATATTGCAAAGCAAATGTGTTGTGCTGGTTGTTTAGCCATAGGATGAGAATTCCTTCTGATGTAGAATATTTGACCCTGGAAGACGTATCGCTATATGAAAACAAATGTAAAGTCCTTTCCCCTGGGTTTGTTCCAATTGTACTATTGTCGCCGTGTCACAGAATGGAGAATCCTATCAGCGTGGCAGAGAACAACAATATCTAAAGCCATTTTTAACGTGACCTGTCTATGCATTACGCATGAGGGAGTTCACTTCCTTAAACACTTTCAAGAGGTTACCTCATGACAGGGCGCCACGGTGGCGAGATGTTAAATCCCTGGCCTGGTATGCACGAGGTCGTGTGTTCGATCCCGATCCTGATGCCTCTATATTTGGAGTTTGAGTGTTCTCCCCTTGGTCGCAATACATTTTTCTGTGCGTTCTCTGTTTTTTTCTCTCTCCAAGGTTAGAATCAACGTTGCGTTTTGAGAATGTGGCTGTTATAAATGTACAAATGATAAACCACTTCATGGGGCTATCATTTGTGGCCAGGTCGCCTCTGAAAAAGAGCTATATAGCTCAGTAGGCCTTACCTCGTTAATTTTTTAAAAAAAGTTTATGGTTTTTAGTTTTATCTATTGGATGACAGTAAAACCAATGTTATGGGGAGTTTTTTTTTTATTCTCAGAGCTATACTTTAAGTTAATGAAGTGCAAAACTAAATTCAATGTGGTATCTTGTTTTGTGCAATCGTTGGAGACTATGGCAGAGGCCATGAAATTGCTGCACTTGAATGAACCGGCTATAAATGCATGTAGCTGCTCAGATTTGAACCCATAACTTCGGTGGTGACGTCGGCAGTGCTCCGATCTCGATGCCACGTGACTACCTCCAGCCTACTGCGAATGTAATCATCGCCGGCTAACACAGGGTCGGAAGGTGGCGAGCGATCGACGGTAGATTAGTAAGACTGCGGAGGGAAATGAGTTCCAAAGTTCAACCGCAAGGGCTATGAAGGAGGAAGCAAAGCTTTTTGTGCGTCAGGGTTGGCAGTGGGATGTAATTCGCGTGGCGAGATAAAGAGAGGTGAGCAACACGAGCAGATTAACAGACAGGTCGAATAATGCGAGAGAGTGATCCATTCTTAACCATTCGTAACCCGGCGTTAACCATCGGACAAAGACGGTCGCTGCTTAGGGCGCCTTCAGATGCACTTCTGCGGCCGTCTGGAACGCTCTTCCTTCTAATATTAGGAAGCCACTGGACCTATGCACTTTTATATCACGATTGAAAATGTATTTCCTTAGAGCTACTTTTTGTGTTTAGTCTTTTGTCCTTCCCCCGCACCTCTGATCAACACAGTGCTAAATAATTTTAACATACATACAGCCTCATCAGATGGTACCCATTTTACCAATCCCAGAGGAATGATTATGACGACTATGATGATGATGGGCCTGAGTCGCTCAATCTAGGAATTGGACTCGCAATTGTACGACTGACTGGGATCCCTGGTCCTGTTCTCAACGGAGCTGTCCCCCACAGCGACAAAACCACGTGTTCTTAACTGCCAGGTTGTTTCCTCCTTTTTACTAAAGCACTCTCTCATATATATTCACTCGCTATTTGTTTGTAGCGATTTGTGCAAAGTCATTAAATTGCTGCGGCAACGTGGATGGTTATTATTATTGATGAAGAAACCAATACGGGAAATCAAGGTGTGTTGCCACTCCGATGGCTTTGTGTGGAGCATGCCCAGGGCCAGTTCCCACCAGAGGACAACAGTTTCTGACGTCCCACCACAAAGTGCCAACCAATTCATGAATCCCCAGTTGGAGTGATGATGCATTGAGATGACTCCTGAGTGGGATTTGAGAAAACAGCTTTCCAATTGGGGGGAGTCGGTCACTTTTAATACGGCGCAATTCCCTGGACGCGTTACCTTGTCATTCTGTACCACGCTCGTAGCAGTCGGCTTCATTGTTGAGGAGCCTATGTAGCTAATGTACAAAGTTTGTAAACTACGGCAAACTACCAAGTAGAAGAACACAAAAGCTACGTAATTACTGAAAGTCAACGTGTTTATAAGAACGCGTTTTATTTCTGTGTGTCAAGTATAGGCATCCGCAGGAATTGTTACATGGCGGTGACGCGGCCCAGCGGTAAGCGCGGTCGCCACTCTTTGCAGGGCTTCGTGGTTCGAATCCAGCGGCCGCCCTGGTTATTACTTCGGCATGTGTTAACCGTATAAGTACGCAGTGGATGTTAAAGATCCTGTGACGTCGTTAGCAAGAGCAGGCCATCGTCTTGTGCCGGCGACACGGTCCAAAGTTGCCAAATTTGTAAAATTACTCACATAATCACTAAATTGGGATTATACATAGCAACTTGGCGGAGCCACTGACACTAGCCGTGGGTGGTTATAATCGAACCCAGATCGCTGGGCTCATAGCGCAGTGTGTTAACCGCTGCGCTACAGCTCCACTATCTCTAATCGGGGTGGTTCAGCTTATGAAAGGTCCCCTGTTAATTTAGTCAGGACACACACTGTGTGTTGTTTCACAGTCTAAGCCTCGCTACACCTTATGAGACCGCCGCATCGGAGAGTTTCTCGTGTGCCGGATAGATTCTGTTGTCTAGGAGCTCATGCGTAAGAGCACTGGCCTCACAGTCACAAAGTTGTGAGTTCAAATCCTGTGAGTCAACTCTGCATCCTCCTCCTCACTATCATCATCGTCTTCCTTTTGGGGTCAATCAAATGAATACCACCAAGTAAAGCCGCATAGCTTGGTACAGAGAAATGACAGTCATTCGTGTTCCGCCATAGGAATGTGGAATTTCCACCACTTATTGAGAAATTATCAATGGATTATACAACACATTGCCCTGCCATAGGAACGTGGAATGTCATCACTGAGTGAGAACCATATTTTCCTTGTGCTAATTAACTGACAGGCTGGGCCCTGACGTAGGGAGCCCTCTTTATATGTGTATGTTGAACATCGCATCGTACGTAGCGATGTCAGGGCCATACCCAGTGGGAGAAGATTGGTGGGGAGGAGATTGGTGGGGAGCAGATTGGTGGGGAGGAGATATTAGTGGGGAGATGTTAGTGGGAAGGAGATATTAGTGGGGAATAGATATTAGTGGGGAGGAGATATTAGTGGGGAGGAGATATTAGTGGGGATGATATATTAGTGGGGAGGATATATTAGTGGGAAGGAGATATTAGTGGGGAGGAGATATTAATGGGGAGGAGATATTAGCGGGGAGGAGATATTAGTGGGGAAGAGATATTAGTGGAAAGGAGATATTATTTGGGAGGAGATATTAGTGGGGAGGAGATATTAGTGGGGAGGATATATTAGTGGGGAGGAGATATTAGTGGGGAGGAGATATTAGTGGGAAGGAGATTGCTGGGGAGGAGATTGTTGGGGAGGATATATTAGTGGGAAGGAGATTGGTGGGGAGCAGATTGGTGGGGAGATTGGTGGTGAGGAGATATTAGTGGGGAGAAGATTGGTGGGGAGGTGATTGATGGGGAGGAGATTGGTGGGGAGGAGATTGGTGGGAAGGAGATTGGTGGGGAGACTATATTAGTGGGGAGGAGATTGGTGGGGAGGAGATTGGTGGGGAGGAGATATTAGTGGGGAGGAGATTGGTGGGGAGGTAATTGGTGGGGAGGTAATTGGTGGGGAGGAGATTGGTGGGGGGGGGAGATTGGTGGGGAGGAGATTGGTGGGGATATTATATTAGTGGGGAGGAGATTGGTGGGGAGGAGATTGGTGGGGAGGAGATTGCCGCCACCACTGAACGAGATCCACTGCGTGGTGGGACGTGAACAGTGCCTGCTCTGTGGAGGGTCTGTCTCCTGGTCACGATGATTTGTAATTTACGCGACTTTGTCGACGGCAAACTGATTCCTTCCATCAGAAGATGGAAATGCCTTCACTTGATGAACGAACAAAAACACGGTGATTGTTTTAACGTTACACGGAGGCTTTATTATCAAGTAACTAACTCCTGCAATAGGAATGTGGATTGTTGTACCCGCTACCTCACGACCTCCAACGCCGATCAGCACTTCTCAGCGCTGATCAGCGCACCGGGGAACTCTTTAGAATCGCTCTGAATGGCAAACAGGAATGCATCCAGTCAAGTTGGGGGTTCTGTGGAACCGCCACGAAGTGGTTTCACCCACTTCCCTCAGGACCTCCAGCGTAGAAAGGGATTGCCCATTGCTGATTACTTCATTGGCTTAGAATTCCTTTAAATTGCTTAGAATGCCAAGACAGGAATGCTCCGAGTAAACGGGGATTCCACGGCTTTGCTGGTGAGGTTGAACCGCAGAACCGTACGCTAAGTGTTTGCTTTCGTTTAGGATCAGTGTGGAGTCATGGCCCCATGCCAGCGTAACATCATGCGGATTGCTTTTCGCCACAATCCCCCCACCACCACCCGCTGCGTGGACTCTGCCACGCCGTGTAAATCCGCACAAAATTACTCACGGGAACAAATCCTTCAATCTTCCCGTCGGCCGGGCACGTAAGCCCCCTCTGAGCACGTGACCCGTGAGGGTGCCGGAGAATGCAGAGGCGCACAGTGCAGTTGGCATTTCGCTGACAGCCCGAGTCGTGGCACGCCGGTGTGCGACCGCCGGCGAAAATTGAGAGATTAACGTCAATTCCCTTACGCGACGGTGGTGGGTGGCATGCAAACGTTGCACCCACCGCGGCCGCATTAAGCGTTGTCGGTCACGGAGCGTACTTCCCCACCGCAACCGATGTTTACCCATGTGCAAGCGCGAAAGAGATGTTGGCTGATGAAGTGAATATTGAGGCCCACTTTTTAGGAATAGTGGCTGGAAAGCATTATTTTTTAGAGATGGGCAGGAATGAGTATCAGGAAATGTCAATTATAATGGAATTATTTTCCAACTCTTTTGGAAAACATGTGCCGGTAAAGGTCTCCTGTAAGATTGTCACAGATCCAATGGGAAAATGAGATTTGTGGGGGCCTTTTGTTCGATAGTAATTTAAAAAAATAGATTAGGTTGCATGAAATGGGTCAAGAGATGTATTATATTAGCAGGGCAGTTATTAGATGGACGACATAAATCTCTTCACAATCTTGGAGGAGTCAACTACGATGCTAATATGAAGATTGTTTGAAGCAGGAATAGCGATAGATATTGCTCTCACAAGGCCAATGGAAAACACACCTCTCACGTTTGAATACAGGTGCAATGTGGAGGATGCGAAAGTCAACCACAACAGAATAGGGTGAGCAATTTGGAACGTTTGGAATAGAACACAGCATAAAAACATTGTGGAAGGAATCAGGTAGAAACCACTGCATTGTTCACATGAAACCAGATAAATGGGCATATTGAACCTTATGGCGGGACCACGGGGTCCCATAAGCCCCCGGCTCTCGCATAAACTGCCTTGCGACGTCATTTTATGTCTGTTGAAGGCGAACGATGCGGTAGTCTATTCCTCTCGACGAGCTCTACACGATGCGCTAATCAAAGTTGAAAACTTTTGTTTGTGACTACGGCAATTTTGGCAACGACGGGTGCTTCGTGAAGAAGGAGGAGAGGATTGATATCTGGTGGGTCGCGGCGGTTATGTGCGAGGTGGGACGGAGTTGCCAAAAATAAATAAATTAATTACGATTTTGACTTCCGTTTATTCAGGACCCCGGGGTCCCGCCATAAGGTTCGTTAATTTATATTCTATAGGACAACGCCTACCTCCAGTGCGATGTGATGTGGATTTTCTTACTGTCGTGATGGCAGTGTATTGTGGTATTTATTTTAACACAGACGAATCAGCTGGAGCTCGTGGAGTTGGGATTGTGGAAATACTCGCCATGATCCCGTTCACATCAAACGAATATAAACTCAGTTGAACACGTAGGCCTTCGCAACCAATATCATCCATAATATAAGTGTTTTTTAGTTAGATCGCGTAAATATAAATGTGTTGTTAAACCCGCCACCACCCGACTCAAATTGTAAATGTTGTGGATTTGCTCTCCAACCCACCGGTGTACTGTACTAGTAACGAATTGGAATGTTCTGTTTACGTGACAAATCTTACTAATTGGCTGTGTCGGGTGGTGGCGGGTTTGACGACACATTCATATTTACGCAATCTAACCAAAAAAAACCTATATAATGGAAGATATAAACCCCGCGTGGGGTTCAATGTGCCTTCACGTCAATGGCTAAGTGGATGGTCAATTTGCATTTCTTGAGAAGTCCCCTGCATTCTCGGCATACAGTATGTAGCCATTTGAAATTCACAGAGGTGGCTGTGTCGCAGGGGGCACGGACAGTGCAAATCATTTCCCCTTTTGTATATTTATTATAAAATAGAACGTGTGTCGATCACCACTGTTGACGGGAAGAAGACAATACACACCCGTGTGCTATTTGGGTGAAAAGAAGGGCGTCCCGAGGAAAGGCACCTCCTAACTAGCACGGTTGGGTACGTATGGTGAAAATAAGTTATCCATTAAACTCAACTATTTTTATTTTACTAGCTAAGGCCGACTGTGCTACATAGCTATTTCTCAGAAGTGACCTGGCCACAAAATGATACCTCAACGAAGTGGCTTATCACGTGGAAATGTTTAGCAGCAAGAAATACTAAAAATGCATGTTGCTAAATGTGGAGGGGAAAACCAGAGGACCCGGAGAAAAATCCACATGACCATGGGGAGAGAGAACACGCAAACTCCAATATACAGGCGGTCAGGGTCGGGATTGAACTCACGACCTCCGTTAGTGATCTCTGAGCAATCCGCCAGTCCGACCTCAAACGGTTACCTGAGTAGTTTCCCAGTGTTCTGTCAGTGTCTTGTGACTCTGTGGAGGCTGCCGTGGTGCCACGGTTGCACACTGGGCTTGCAATCCAGACGTCGCCGGCGGTTGCATTGGGGACGTTTATAAAATCCCCCCCGCCTCTGTCCACCCAGCGGGTACCACGTGACGCGGCAGAGTTAGCCAATCGCAGGCACGTGCGCGTGTGTTTGGGCAAAATGTGGGGACTCCCACCTCTTCACAGATACCTGGCCAGCATTGCAGAATAGGCCACAATACCCTCGAGTGCAGCAGTGACCACCGCACCAAGCACTGTGATCCATCTTCGGTGGACCTCAGCGGGCTTCCAGGATCCACCAGAAAGCTATCACCCGGTAATTGCCTGGATTTAACCCTGTAATATACTGTTGACGTAAAATACTTGCTCCATCTATTTATTGGTTGAAGTTAATTTTTCATCAGGGATTTTACCTTTGCCATCAGCTGCAACGGCAATTGTTGTACGCCCTTGTTCCCGTGTTTGTTCTGGTTTTGTCCCGAGATCTACGAAATAAAACAAATGCCATCCACCCCTTGGCCAATGCCTGCTGCATTGGAAATGGAGAGGGCGCTCTTAGAGAAACATAGGGGGCTCTCATTCTGCGGGGCTGCATCGTTACACTGCCGTGACATTTACGAAGCTAAGTTTGAAATAAGGTCCGGCGATGACTGACGAGGAGGTTTATCACTTTTCTCTCTCCCCACCCTCCACGGCGCCAGGCGTGATCATGGGGGCCCTCAGCGGCATGGCGCTGCGCTCGGTCGCCCCGCTTCACCCCGACATCGTGATGGTCATCTCCTTCCCCGGAGACATCCTCATGCGGATGCTCAAGATGCTCATCCTGCCGCTCATCATCTCCAGTCTCATCACAGGTAACGGTGTCGTGGGACCGATCGGCGGGCAGAGCGCCGCGTTCTGAGTTAATTTTTGAAGGATTTTCCTTTAAAAAAAATAAATCTATCCTAGCTCATGCTGAGTCAGCATTGCCATTGTTAGTGTCACTTCTAACCACACTCATCTTCAGCATCATATTATTGTATTATTGCAATAATCATATCACCACCATCATTATCACCATGTCATCAAAATAAGAATGACAAATGCCCGACCGCCCGTTGTACTTTTAAATACAGCAAGACCTGACATCAATGGTTTTGGCCATCTGTTTTTTTTTTTTACAAGAGCCCAGTACAGAGTTTCAATGATACAAAAGGGAGTGGGGACACAGATATTCCACGGATGAAAGCCCCGAGGCCCAGTGCTCACGGGGCAGGAGAAAGAGAGATCGTTGGCTTCACTACCATACTAATGTCGGGACAATGATCGGAAGCATGGAATTTCACGGCAAGGGAAGGGGTGCGCAAGGGAGAGGCAGGGGTGGGAGACATTTCCATCTTGACTTGTACGCCGAAAACCGAGTAAGAGCGGGCGGGACCTCCATGCAGGTTTGTCCGGCCTTGACGCCAAGTCGAGCGGGCGCATGGGCACGCGCGCCATGGCCTACTACATGTCGACCACGGTGATCGCGGCCGTGCTGGGAGTCATCCTCGTGCTGGCCATCCACCCGGGCAATCCCAAGCTCAAGAAGCAGCTGGGAAAGGGGCAGCTCAACGAGGAAGTGTCCAGCCTGGACGCCTTCCTCGACCTCATCCGGAACCTCTTTCCCGAGAACCTGGTGCAGGCCTGCTTTCAGCAGGTATGGAGAATCAGTTCCATTAGAATATTGATTTATACTGGAGGAATCCGATGAGCTATTAAGCTCTTTTTGTTTACAGATGTGCAGTTATAAATAGGGGACGGGGGCTGCTGGTCACTGGCTCGCTTGTAAAATATTCCGAGATGTTAACTATCTCGCCTGGTACACAGGAGGTTGAGGGGTTCAAACCCTGATGCCTGTATATTTGGAGTTTGCATGTTCTCCCTCTGGATTTTACTCCATATTAAAAAACGTGCATTTAGAGTGTCTGGCTGCGATAATTTTCCACATGATAAGCCACTTCGTTGAGCTATCATTTTTGATAGCCAGGTCACTTGCGAAAAATATCTACATAGCTCAGTGGGGCCTTACCTGGTAGAATAAAAATTGTTCCTAGTTTTTGTAAATGTGTGCCTGTCGCTGAGTCATTCGGTCAATGCCATTCTATCCTTGTGCAGGACAATGTCCTCAGGCGTCTGTTTGCCAATGTCGAGGTTCGTTAGCCATGGGAGGGCTTCAGCGGGGAGAGAAGTGTGTGTTTAGGTTTGCTGTTATTCCTCCGCCGTTTGAAGGAGTGCAATGGTGGTCCAATGTGTGGTCCAGAGTTTTTGGGTTGTGTGGCCATGGTTGCGCTCCTGTGGTTGTTCTTAAAAATTTCCATTCGTGAAGGAGATGTGTACAGTGGCCTCTTGATGTTAATACTTTAATGTTACTTTCAGTTCTATTGGAGCTCCGTTGCAGTTTTTGTTTTTAATTTTAGATTTTATGTATTTATGATATATTTGACGTCTTACTCTGAGTTCTGGCTTACTCTGACCCAGATTCCATAAGTTTTCCTGTAAGCACTTTGAGGAAAGACAACGGTGCTTATCCCATGGAGGGACTGGTCCCCACATCAGGAGTGTGGAATTTCCTCACTGACGTTGCCAGTTGTCTTCACTTGTCTCTCAGTCTGTCACCGCATCCTGTTTCCCCGAGCACCCTCCAGTGTGCTGTCCATCACCGTCCTCATCTTTACCCCTAACACCCTCCAGTGTCCTGTCCACCACCGTCCTTGAAGTCGATCGCCATTAATCCTGGCCATCATGCTGTAGTTCCCTCTACTTGGTCCGATCTAGGAGCCTCCAATATTTTACTATCTCTATAATTTCTAGTTGTTACCCTTTACCAAATGGTGTTTACTCCCCTCCCAGATCTATTAACTTCACATCGTCTGACTTAACCAACCGGTAACCTCTAACATTCACCGGCTGTGCTTGCACTTTTTTTGTTTGTTCAAGATTCAAACGGTGACCAAGAAAGTGGCGGTGACTCCAGATGAGCCGGACGAGGAAGAGGGCCTCAACGTGACGGGAGCTGCTACAACCGTCGCCAGCGACCTCTTTGAGTCGGTCACGCTGGCCCTCAATGGCAGCAACTCGACCGAGCCAAGCGAGCCCCCGTTCGAAATCAAGAAGGGCCTCATCTTCAAGGACGGCATGAACGTCCTGGGTAAGTCCTCCGCACACTTTAGCAGCAAGTTCCGTGCGTGCGTGCGCACCACGACCGCTGTGGCTCGTTGAGATCAAAACTCCTCCTCTGTCTCTAAATTGGCATCTCTGCTCTGATTCTGATTCTGGCCACCCAAGAGACAGACCCCCCCTCCCCTTCCCCGTCCCTTGATCGCCGCCGGCTGTGATCACGTCAGCTCGCGAGCCGCTAGCTAAATGATGCCGAGCACAATTCAGGAAAATTTTTGTCAATTATGCGCCCACGCGCCGTGGCAGTGGGTAATGGCGTCAGCGCTGACCTGCCGGCCGCTCACAGGGAGATACGCATAACACTCCCATTGATGAGCCTGATACCCGCAAACACTCCAAGTTACTGGGCGACACGTAAGCTCGTTGAGTAGTGAGCGACGTGCAAAAAACGATCACATTAAACACCCTGAAGAAACGTCAGTTGCTGTATGTACACGTGTATGTGTAACCATGTCCAACCACTGCTAAATTCTGCTCAATGTAATTGGAGATTAAAATTTAATATTACAATGAGAACAAAGTGTAAAAAATGCCATTGCCAGTAAAGAGCATTGCTTCATAACTTACGTAAAACTAAACCACATTTCTAAAATGTCAATTTGTACTTATTTGCCAAAAACGATTTCTTCCCGCGTTACAATGCATCGTGATCATATTAGCCTGCATGCAATTTTAATGGACCTCGTTTTAAAATCGCGCTGAGGTTCAGAGAACCTTCGAATGGCCATCTGATGTAACCGTAAATGTTCTTGCGCTGCGGATGGAGTGGTATAGGTGGAGCTGGGGGTCAACTGAGCCCGTCATCTTCTCAGTCTTTTTGGGAGCCTGACAGCAGCCCCCACCCCATCAATGTTGAATTTCCACTACTGGCTGAAGCCCACTGCTCATTTGAGCAGGGATAGCCTTCTACTTTGGTCGTGCTTCCCCCCCGCACCTCCGATTAGCACGGTTGGTGATGTACGGTGCGAAAGAAGTTCAATATACAGACATATATATACTTGACCTTATATATAAAGACGCAAGGTAAGTGACCACGTCCTACACTCTACGTGACATGCAGGTCTCATTGGCTTCTTCATTGCGTTTGGCATCATCATGGGGAAGATGGGAGATCAGGCGAAACTCATGGTCGAGTTCTTCAGCATCCTCAACGAAATCATCATGCGCCTCGTCATCATGATCATGTGGTGAGTGAACACTTTAACCGTCGAACTTGGCCAACGTTGGCCCAACGTGGACCACAATACCTCGCTGATCTCGTCAAGGAGAGTAAACCATCACGCAAACTCCGTTCATCCTCGAAGCGGCGGATTTTTTTTCTTACCATCGGTGCGAAAGAAGTTCAGAATACAACCCCGCCTCAAGACGCATCGATTCTCTCTTGCTTTCGGTTGTCTCAGTGAGCTCCGATACTTCTTAGCTATTCCTTCCCCTTAGCCAACATTCTATTTGTGATGGGCAGCACTTTGAGTATCTTGTAAAAAGACGTTTTGCAAATATAATTTATTTATCTATGGGATCTTTCTTGCCAGTGAGCATACACGCCATGTGTGCGCACATACATGCACGCACAAAATGATGAGAAAAATAATTATCCTTTAAAAATAAATATACTATAACCTAGATACAACCGCTCAATCTGAGCTATTGATGCTTTTTTATTTGGATTGCCTCTGTGCTGTTCACTTTTTGGTGTTCTCTGGTCTCACACTGGTACAGAGACAAGGCCATAAATAAGGCTGCTGTCTCTGGTGTAGGCCAATCAGTTTCAAAGACAATGTGTACATTATTTTCAAAGCGTGCTTTTTTGCATGTTTTACCACAAGCATGCGTGGTTAATGTAGACTTGATGCCTTGCGATAGGTGTTTGTTTAGCATTTGAACATCTTAACACCGCCTGTATTATTGCCAGAAAAGGTAAAGCCTATTACTTTTTAATCGTAATGTATGATTATTCGAATACCAAATGTACTAAATTATTATGTGCCGCCACCACCATCGTTTTGCGGCCTCGCCGGATCGCAGGTACTCTCCCTTTGGCATTGCGTCGCTCATCTGCGGAAAGATCTCAGACATCAAGGACCTGGAGGTGGTGGCGCGGCAGCTGGGCATGTACATGATCACGGTTATCGTGGGCCTCATCATCCACGGAGCCATCATCCTGCCGCTCATCTACTTCAGCATCACCCGCAAGAACCCCTTCAAGTTCTTCGTCGGGATCTTCCAGGCCTGGATCACGGCTCTGGGCACGGCCTCCAGGTCTCTCGAGCAGCGGCGTCTGCAGCGACGATGACGGTCGTGCTCGTGGTGGTTATGATTGATAGTGGTGGTGGGGAGTGGTAGTGGTAGCGGTTAGCGCACTGCGCTACAAACTTCGGTGGCCTGAGTTTACCTACTCGTGTGACTTGCTGGTCTGTATAGGTACTCACTCATACTATTTGTCCCAGGATATTCTTTGTATAGTTGATAACCTTGTTAATGGCGATCATGCCAATGCTGATGATGATTTACTAAACATATTGATCTGAACAATCATCCTCATAAAATGGTGATTAATGTTTACAAAGATGGTGGTGATGATGATGATAATGCTGATGTGAGGATGATAATCTAGATTTGAAGTTTTCGTGACTGCAGGGATCCATACTCTTTGGTTCTTTCGGTAAAGTCACGGAGGTGAAAAAATAAAAATAAATTAAATCACGACGTTTCGGGCGCAACACAAGCGTCCGTCATCAGGTGGGACAACCACAGCAAGAAACAATTGCTGAAGTGGGCAAAAGGGGCTGCTGTAACAAGAGTCTATATAGGTAAGAGAGGGGGGAGGAGCCAGGGAGGAGAGACAGAGAGGGTGGGGGGGGTAGAGGGAGTGGAGCACTGCCGGTTGAAGAGCAGCTAGAAGGGATTAAAGGGCGCGCAGAGACAAAATGTCGGGGGGGAGGGGGTGGGGAGGGGAAGTGGGCGGGGCTGGGAGTGGGGAGCTGAAGCAACAGGAGATGCGGATATGAAGGCAACGCCATAAAGCAGTTAAGGTTTTACCTGGTTAATAACATCCTTCCAATGATTGCTAAATTTGTATCCATCGTCTCGGTTGAAGTTATGTCTATGTTTATATATCTTGATGGCTTCGTGAACAAACCTTTGATAGTAGCCCGAAGGTTGATAATGCAATTGGACAAGGGCAAATTGGTTGTTTGTGGTGATTGTGATTGCAATTGACAGACATATGCTATGATGGCAATGGTGATAATGATGTTGATACAGACAACATGTTAAAGGTTACAATGACAATTAAATGTTGGACGAAGATGATGATCATCATAATTGATAATCGTGGTGATGACAATGATGATGATGCAATTCACAACGTATATCAAATATTCTACCAATTGTAGCAATAAGATGATGATTTCACAATATTGATGGAGGCCTTGACAATATGGCCAGCGTGACGCTACACTAACGATGGCGGTGGCAGTGTGGGGGGTTCACGCCTCTGAGGTACAAGAACCTGCCACATATCATTAAAAGGATAATATATCACGCTCCATTGTTGACTTGAGCGATCTACTATTACACAGCCGACAAAAACTGCGACTCTTAATGTCCAGGATGACTTACAGATTTCCCACGACAGTAGATACCTCAAAATGCAGGTACTGTGAGCAACCCCATTAAAGGTGTTTTCCCCTATTCATGAAAAACTAAATGCGTTTTTTTTGTTGCATGATACTGCATTCTCCAGAGTGCATAAGCACAAATAACAATAGCTCATGAAGAAGGGGCATTGTGAAAGGGCAGTGTGATTGACGAATGCATTGAGTTGTTGCCGTGACGACGGCGACGGGCGGTGGTGTGTAACCGTGGCGCCGTTGTTGTCGTCGGTGGCGTCGCCACCGCCGGCGCCGCCGCCGCCGTGTGCAGTGCCGGCACACTGCCCGTCACGTTCCGCTGCCTCGAGGAGAACCTGGGAATCGACAAGCGGATCACTCGCTTCGTGCTGCCCGTGGGAGCCACCATCAACATGGACGGCACCGCCCTCTACGAGGCCGTGGCGGCCATCTTTATCGCGCAGATGAATGGCGTGGTGCTCGATGGTGGGCAAATCGTCACCGTGAGGTGAGGCGGTTCACACAATTGCTTCTCCCCGTGCACCTTTCCCGCTGCACAACCGAGCCAATCCGGGCCGGCCGGGTACGGAGATCCCACGTTGGAGAGATGTTAACTACCTCGCCTGGTATGCAGGAGGTTGCGAGTTCGACCCCGACCCTGACGATGCCTGTGTATTTGGAGTTTGCATGTTCTCTCTCCGCGTGGTCACGTGGATTTTTCTCCGGGTCCCCCGGTTTTTCCCTCTGCATTTAAAAACAATGTGCGCTTAGACTGTTTGGCTGCTATAAATGTCGTTGGGCTATAAATTGTGCTTAGGTCCTTCTGAAAGAGAGCTATAGAGCTCGGTGGTTCTTAACTGGTAAAATACAGTTCAATTGAAATCGTTTTTTTTTCCACTGCAGGAGTCGAGCCGTGCCGCTAATGTCGTACGTAATAAAGGAGCGTAGACGGATGACGTGCCTAGGTGACGCCTAGGCATCAAAGTGTATTTTGGGGAGCAGGTAGTGTAGCGGTTAGTGCGCTACGCTACAAACCCGGCGGCCCGAGTTTGATTCGCGCTCATGGCCAACACCAGTGACGAGTACGTGAACCGGTCCTGGGCCTCCCCTAGGTCGACTCAGCCTGAAATGAGGTCCAGGTGCGGTGTGTAAACGCCGCCAATAAAGGAGACAAAGGCGACCGGACATAGTGCTGGCCACACACCCCCTCGTGCGCCGTGGCAGCCTTCATAGGTGCTACTCACCAACAGTCTTTTAACACTACACAGGGATCATTTGTCTCGTCACGGTGTATTGACTTCACATGGCCTTGCAACGCATGTGGTGGACGCGGTGACGCTGCGCTCGCGGTATACCGACTGATGTCACATGCGACGAATGCGTCATTACCCTCGCCCTCGGCCCTGCTTGGCCTCCGAGCCAGATTCAGACGTCTTCCTTTGAGGCCAGCGTGTCACCGTTTTGGTTCCAGTTCAACATGTTTAAATAGCCAGTGTGAAAACTCGCCCGTTACCGTGAGCGCCTCACACACTGGCTTGGCTCAGATATGCCAATGGAAAATAGGTATTTGCAGGGCTGCTACTTGTCCCCGATAGCCTTCGGGCTGCAGGAATGAAGCAACGTTACGAATTTTCATATTCAGCATTCGGCCAATTGTATCGCCTGGGGCTCTGGTCCTGTTTGATGTGAAACCACACCTTCGCCCGCCTCACTTGCTGTGCTGCCAAACAATTGGCCACTGCGTAGTCCTGCAGGTGGTAAGAGTGTTTCTTGCACGCAAGGTGATGTTTGTGCAATCCACCAACGTGTCCTCTGGCGTCACGCCTCCCAGTAGTGGAAGCTGTTTTTGTGTTGCACGCTTTTTTTCCTGTTGAATGGGGGGGATTCTTAATAGCTGCGGAGGAATTAGTAAAATATTGGTGCCCTTAAGCTTCTAACCTTTGACTTCTGACATATAAAATCCAAAGCTCTGTGTAATATCGGCTAAACATTTTGGCAAAGGACACGTTTATGGGTAAACATTTCTAAGTGTAATCTCAAATCACTTCATTTCACAATGCACTTAATTTGTTCCTTTTGTTAATGTATTTCTACTGATGGTGGAATTATATCCTACCAGTGGCTCAATGCCAGCGACCGCGAGCGTGTAAGGCTCTTTGCTTTTTTGATTCTCTTTGCTTCATCGTGCTTGGAATGGGAGCGAAGTACATTCTTTTCCCTGCCCTCCACAACAGTCTGACTGCCACGCTCGCAAGCGTGGGAGCCGCCAGCATCCCTAGCGCGGGCTTGGTCACGATGCTGCTCATCCTAACCGCCGTGGGCCTCCCCACCTCTGACATCAGCCTGCTGGTGGCTGTGGACTGGCTGCTGTGAGTTCCTCTCTCCCACACTGCAACATCACAGCGATCCATTCCAACGCAGACGATCCATGGGTTTGATTTTCCACAAAGTTGCTCATGGCCCACCCTAAACGACATCCACTGCACAAACCATGGCAGATGCGGATACCTGATGCGAAAAATGGAAAATTAAAAACTCTCCAGTCGTCTGCGACTGTGGTCATCAAGAACAGACCGTATAACGTATAACGACGCAATGCCCGATCCACAAATACGAAGGAGACATCACAGAGATACACTCCGCTGCTCCTGACACGGTTATCTGGCTTGACCACCTAAATGTCAAATTGTAGTTGTTGCTCTGCAGCTACATTAGCCATACGAAAGAAGAAGAAGAAGCTAGCAAGGACTCGGAACATTTGCAACAAGCCTTTGTGAAGTCCCTTCCCACTCAGCCAGCTGTGCTGTTGACCCATGGTCAGATAGAGATGGGGGTAGGCGGTCAAACGGGAAGAAAAGGTATTTTGTCAAGTATAGATGTTTATTCAGATTATTGTTTTAAATATTAACAATATAAATGTCTATCATTATTAATGACTGGTTTGAAAAGGTTTTAAGCTCACCTTCCAAACGTTTCTCGTCTGACATCGATGAACGCTCCCGTATCGTGCAGCTGTTGAACTCACTCGTGTGGGATCATACGGGAGCGCTGCATCTAGCATCTAGCCATCGCCGGTCAGAGCATCATTTTGGATTGTTTAATACGCAGTTTTGCATTCGAGTGTGGTGCCGGCAATTATTGTTGTGGACTTTGTGTGTCCTCATGCGTCTGTGTGTGTGTGGTCGTGCATCTGTGTGTGTGTGTGTGGTGGGGAGCGGTAGTGTAGCGGTTAGCGTGCTGTGCTACGAACCCAGCGACCCGACTTTGATTTACGCTCCCGGCCAACACCAGCAACGATTATTTGAACTGGTCCTAGGCCTCCCCTAGGTCGTCAGCCTCAAATAAGTAACTGGTGCAGTGTGTAAACATCGCCACTCGGAAGACAAAGGCGGTCCGGCATGGTGCTGGCTACCCACCCTCTCGTGTACCGTTCTGGCCTTCATAGGTGCTCACTAACAGCACTTGCCCCGACAGTTGGTTAAGGCTATATGGGGGGATGTGCCTTTATCAGTGCCGGATTATCCTAGTAGCAAAAGTGGCTACATATGCTACGGGCCCCGCACTTTCAAGGGCCCCGCACTAAATGCTTTCAAGCTATCAATTCCAGTTCAGTGATTCTGCACTTGCTCTATTACTATAGTACTATACCGCCTTCAACTTTTATGAATGGCTGGGTGTTAAAGGTTAGTGATTTGTCGTATTATCCGGCCGTATAGCAAATGAAAAAACGCAATTACTTTACTATGCAAGTGAAAAATTAGTGTTTTAATATTTACGTGGTTTAAAAAATATATATTTAGGGCCCCTTTATAATGTACACTATAGGCCCCGCACTAGCTTAATCCGGCACTGGTCTATGTATGTGTGTGTGTGGTCTCTTCTGCTCTGTTGTACCATCGGTAAAGATACTTACATCTAGTCACGTTTCACCCGACCCCTACCCCAGGTTCAAGACCTTCCATTTTACCCCTGCCTCTGGTCGATTGGCTCTTGATGTAAACACGCCCACTCGTTCTGTATGGGGTCGTGAGATGGTGGTGGGGCTTTGACGCCATAGAAATCCAAACATGTGCTGGTGACATGAATTTCTGCCTCTCTTTATTCTTTTTACAACGTTTGGAACAGCTGTGGGATGGCTTTTCTGGATTGGAAAATTCTTCACTCTCTGATGCATTGTTGTCTGTTTATTCTGGATACGCATGACCCTCCACAATTGTGCAGAATAATTTTTTTTAGGCAACTATCGTACCACGTATTATAGTGAATGTTAATTTGTCTGCGCCCTACATTGTAACTAACAGATCTATATAAATCACTGCTTGTCCCCCCCCCCCCTTTATGAATATTTGTGTGACTATCTCCCTAGTGGGAAGCGAGTGGTGATGCAGTGGTTAAAGAACCGCGTTACTAACCTGGTTACCTGAGTTCGATTGCCACTCAGTCAACATGAGTGTCAAATATTTGTACTGCTCCTGGGCTGGGCGTGGTGCTGGCCACCCACCCCTCGTGTACCTTGCCGACCTTCGTGGATGCTCACTAACAGCATTGCTCAACAGCCATTATAGGATATTCGGGGGATTTTTGTCTTTGTACCTACCTAGTGAGTACTGAGCATTAGTGTGGTGGTTATCTCACTGCGCCATGAATCCGATTGCCCGAGTTCAATTCTGGTTCTCGGCGAAGATAAGTGATAAATATCTGTGCTGGTACTGGGCGTCTCTGAAGTCAACTTCAGCCTCACATTACCTATTGGGGTGTGTAAACATCAGCGCAGGGGAGACAAAGGCGGCCAGGCGTGGTGTTGGCACATACCACTCATTCCGTGCTCCGCGCGTGCCAGCCTTCACGGGTTCTCGCCAGCAGCACTTGCCCCGGCGCACCCGCGTAGGCTACCTGCGTGCGGGCATCTTTAACTCTACCTTTGGTGCCCACCTCCCCAGGGATCGCATGCGGACGTCGGTGAACGTGGTGGGCGACTCTTTCGGCGCGGGCATCGTGTACCACCTGTCGCGCGCCGAGCTGGACGCGATCGATGCGCGCGCTCACGAGGACCCCGACCTGACCCACCGCGCCTCGCTCTACGAGGATGGCCGCAACCACCAGCCCGGCGCCAGCGAGGTCATCGCCCTCAACTCCGTCGTCGCCGAGGACTCCAAGGTAACGGCTCGGCCTGTGCCAAGGCCGACCGCTCAAACACAATAACAGCAACAACAACAACAACAAGGGCAGTGGCGGCAACAGCAAAAACAGCAGCTGCCATTCACCACTTTTGTGGCGGTGGCATCACCCCAGGGCTCATGCCAGGATGGGTGCACTTTGATGCCGTGAGAAGTGTCGAAAGTTCTCCAGCAGGAGGTCACTACACAGTCCCCAGTGTTATTAATTATCTGGCTTAGACAATGCCGTTTAAGGCATCCAGCACACAATCACCACCCTCCCTCAGCAATATGTTCGGGAGATCATCCCCAGTACTTTTCCTCGTTTCGGATTTTTGTATCGCTCTTCGCACATCCTCGGCAGATGGCACATCAGCCGACCACTCGCAGGGGTTGGCCACTTCCACCAACCTTTGCGGCTCCACAACCATTGCAGCTTGTCCCATTATGTTGTCGGGCTGTGGCATCAGACATCATATCACCATTATCCTCCTTCGAAATAGTAAGGAAATTTTCTGATGGTACTAAGGGATTGATTTATGATCGTGGGCTACTGAGATAGCTTCAGTCTCCTCGGTAACCCGCAGCCATCACTTATTCGTGGAGCACTGCATGGCTCTCCTGCTCTCCGAGCAAAGGCTGTGGTAAGCCTCCGATTTATTCTTGACCACGAAATGTTCCAAAGTGGTGTGAATGGGCTCGCCACTTTCTCTCAGTCAGCTGAAATACCTCTTCTGTCAGCGTCGGTTTCCGGGTGAGGTTTGGCCCTTCTACCCCTCACAACCATGGCAGCTGCACGAGCCACAATCCTCAACCTCACCCACGTTTGCCTCAGCTTCGGCAGCAGAGGGGCAAAGGTGCCATTTGTAACAGCAACTTTCAACAGCAAGCTGAAACCAGGCTCTTCTAGTTTTGATTGGAATCCAAGGTGGACACCCGCTCCAAAAGTGGAAGAAAAGGAGGTAGATTTTATAGATGACAAGCCGGTGGTCAGCAGACAGATCAGCCCCACAGTATGTAGGTTCAAACGCCAAGGACATGGGCTCACAATCCCTGTTATGCCGCCACTCTTGGGTGAGATACTCCTGCTTGGACTCGGCATGACACCTGAGATAGTTTTGTGAATGCGCCGATGGTGGACCAGTGTTAACAATCAAAAGCTAATAGGTTGCACAGACATCTAGTAGCCTCCTACTGTTACGGAAGAACTGATACGATCCCTGCATTTTAATCACTGGTTTCCCAAGTGGTACTCGTGATTGAAAGACGCCCCTTTACGGTTACTCTACCTCAAATGGCCACTTTAGCCAACAGCTGGGAAAGTAGGGTCATAGAAGGCATTCGACTCATTATTCTTGCCTGCATCCATCCCTCCACGATTGTTCCTCCTCAGCTGAGATATATGCAACCACCTCCATCATTCCTCACCTCCAGTTGATAGGGAGGCGAGCCTGCAAATTTCTAGAACTCACGACTTTCTGCACCTTCCATGCCCCCCTTGATTCTTTAATGCAGAAGATGAGCCACTCCGAGTTGTTTCATGCTTTCTTGCTCTGAGTCTAGAACTGTCCACGCTCTCATTGTGACAGGAGCCATAACTAGTCCACTGGACCTCCAATAGTCATCCAGGCAGTACCTGTTCAGTTCCTGACAGAGGAATGGCAGCAGCCAGCAATCACAATTTCCTGTTGTTTCTGGAGGCTTCCCGAGGGCAGAGATTCAGTCCCCTCCCCCCCTGCAATTCGCCAAGTTGCAGTTTGGCAAGAGTATGTTACGGATGTCTCTGTCCCTGGGGTCCTCCGGCACGTGCCTATTATCTTGTCTTGGTCCTTGGTTAAGCACTTTGAGATGGAGGCGCTCCCAGCGTCAAGGGGCAGAGCCCCTGCCGTTTGCCACCATGGTGGTTGTGAGTGCGCCACGAGGATTTTGTTGAGAACATCCCCACGGCGTTACCGTCCAACTCCACGAGCAGTTTGGAGCTTTTACAGATGCACATCCACACGAAAGGTAGATTTTGTGGGTGATTTGCCCAGAAAGGGTAAAAACCCAATTTATTCATCATTTTTTAAATATTATTTTTGATACTGCCAAAAAGGTCCCGTAGATATAACTGCTCGGCTCGAGCTATACGATTCTCATACTTGCATTGTCTGTGTACTGTTCCCCTTTTGGCGTTCTCTGGTCTAACACTGGTGAGACAAGGCCATAAAGAAGGCTGTCTCTGGTGTAGGCCAATCGGTTTCAAGGACAATGTTTATATTATCAGAGCATGTTTTTTTGCATGTTTTGCCACAAATAAGTGTGGTGAATGTGGACTTGATGCCTTTTTTTGGTGTTTTAACATCTTAACACCTCCTGTGTTATTGCCAGAAAGGGTAAAACCTCTTTTTTTCATTTTTGATACTGGCAAAAGGTCACCATAGACACAAACTGTCTGCTGCTCAATTGAGCCTGGGGTGGCACCCCTCTACTGTGGTTAATCTGAGCCCACCAGTGGTGGAAATCCCACATTCCCATCCATGGCAGATGCCATCCCAGCCATATAACAGCCATGACTGACTTCCCACAAAGTGGCATCCGTTTCAACGACACTGGATGGATTGATTTTTACCCCTGACGCGGATTTTCTATTCAAATCTTTCTCCCCCCCTGTAATCCAAAACAGTCCTCCTTACAGGACTACTTGGGCTGCACCTATCGGTAACCAAATGTAGAGAAATTTTCTCCATCAATACCAACCACTGTCTTTCTCACTCGTGAAATACAAGGACCAGAAGGGAGTGGCAGAGGTCAACGTGTACCCAAGTAAAAGTCGTTCTGCTTGCCAAGGGCTGATTTATGGCTCCCACCACCTCATGCCAAACTTTCAAATCGGCAGCAATACCTCTGACTTCTAAGGGGGAGCATAAATTGCCATGTTATTGCACAATACTTGAACAGTAATAATGTCATGTCTGTCAAAATACACTAAAAATTCCCTCGTGGTCATGCAAGCACTGGACCATGCTCATCTAAGTAATTAGACGGAGCCAATGGTGGACATTTTCACATTCCTATGGTGGGGACCAGTCTATCTGTGAGCACATCCACCGTTGACGAACAAACAAACAGGGCATCACAAAGGTGGTGTCCACCTTGCAAAAAAATATTCTGGTGGTCAAAATGTTTTTGAGAATGTCACACATCTCTCACACGAACCCATAATGCCAATGCTCGTAACGTTGTATCAACAGCCTCCGATTGTTCAGCCCTATGCCAACAATAATTGCTGCCAGGTCTGATCTTGTTTACGTGTAATATAATCATCCTGATCTCTAATGCTGCACCTGCTTTGATTCATATATCATGACATATCCAATTTATTTCGGGACTCATAAAGAAACCCTTTCATTTGGTCTGTACACATGCCGCTGCATTGTCCCGTTCTGAAACCTATCTGAGCAACCCTTCCCACCCTCTTCAATGCCAACAATATTATGGTGTGAATTCTACGTGGCGTGCAGTGGCAATGAAGTGAAAGCTTTACAAAGCAAGTACGCAATGTTAATTATATTGAAGCCCCTGCGCCCAGGGGCAGGGAGTGGTCTGAAACGCATGGCACGAGGGGAGAGTACGGGGGCAGACATCACTGTTCTATGGACTGTGCTTGAGCTGATCAACCGTGAACCCTGGTGCCGGTTGAACATTCCCCCCTCGTTAAACGCAGCGTCAACACAGACTGGGACTTGCGCTTCCAAGCACAGCTATTGAATAGTATATGGCAACCAACTCGACTGGCACCCAGAGGACCGCAATCAACTTAGAGCCACGCGGTACGAGACCGCAAGGGGAGCGTGTAGCGTGGCGGCTGGGTGTCGACTATGCAGCAGCTGTGAGGCCTAACAGAAAGCAATGATGGGCTTGAGTGGCATTCACAATATTGGCCACGATGACCTCTCGATCTTCATTCGCCTTGTATGTGTCTACGTATGACATATAATAATGGACAAAGACAAAGGTACCTCGTATAGCCTCAACGGGCCAAGTGCTGTTCGTGATCATCGATGAAGGCTGACACAGTACACGAGGGAGTGGGTGGCCAGCACCACGCCCAGCCACCTTTGTCTCCCTAGTGGCGATTTTTACACTACATCAGGTACTAGTTTATGGCTGAGTCAACCTAGGGGAGGCCCAGGAGCGGTAAAAATATTCACCACTATTATTAACCGTGAGCAGGAATCAAACTCGGGTCCTCAGGGATATCGTAACCAGTGGCAGGGCCCCCACCTTCACCAGTCTGCACTGACGACCAGCGTCGATCGTAAAGTATGTTCAAACAACCCCCATAACCAGGATGGCAGGGGGCAGTTTCAATTCAGCGCATTGACAATGGGCTGGCATTATTGTTGTTATTATTATTTCTGTCCTGACATCAATTTCCAAATCACACTAAAACACATAGAAAAAGCATATAATTCAAATGTCTTCCCTTCAATGCCAAATATATATTTACTTAGCATTATCATGGATAATGAATACTATCTGTTGTTAAAGGCTCCAGCACAATTGGCTCTTTTCAATGTTCGATGATGGATACGCAGGGGGGGGGGGTCAATTTGAATAGCTGTTCTTGGAAGCACAAATCTTTTAACCTGCCAGTGGCATTTCTTCCTGCGAGCGGACTCGTAATCTTGACACTTGATTGAGGTGTTCGCTCAATTCCACGTTGCACGCTGGCAGTACGAGAACCAAGTTGAATATCACTCCTCCGTATGACCAATGCCCCATGGGAGAGATAAGTACGCAGGTAAGTGGTATGTATGCTCCTGTGCCACACGCGCCCAATTTAAAGCCAAGCGTGCAAGGAGCCTATCCGTGTGCGACCTCTGACACCAGTTCCAGGAGACGGGATGTCGGAAAGGTTGTTGGCTGTGCAACACAAAGAAGTGAAATGCCACAGGAAAAGGAACTGACCTGCATTCTAACATCAACACCGGTGCTTAGCCTGACCCCAAACACTAATGTTGGAAGTTTACCTAAGTCCTTATTCATACGACCCTATCCTTTATCCTACCTCAAACACTTAACCTAACCTTTCTTCTAACTGCCGCATAAGCATTCCCCCTACATAGATCATAATGCCGTTTAGCCTTTTTTTATAACCAAAATCTAATTCCATACCTAACTACAAACACTACACCTAATCACTGTCCTAACCCGAATCGGCTAATCCTAATGACACACATAAACCATAACCCTGGCGATTAACCCCTATTATCCAGTTATAAAAGTGGCTGGGTGGTACAGTGGACAAAAACTTGGCTCAAAGTCGGGAGCATGGCGGTTCAATCCCAGCCAAGGGTTGATGCAACCCATTGTCCCGTCGTCGGCAATACAATTATTGCCACTTTGTGAAACACGTGATATCATCCTATGGAGTGACTGGCCCTTTCCATAGAAATATGGAATTCTCACCACTGACTCAGAGCCATCAATTATCCTCTGTGCGAGGAGGCACTTTGAGTCTTTTTTTTATTTTACCATCGCAATTCCAGAGATGGCATTTATATAATTACCATGTGTTGGAGTGAGTATCTGGCCCATCACGTGAAATGAATTATAGCAATAGCTCACGGCAGTTTAAGCCTTGTGACTTAATTGTGTCACATTGGCACATATTTACTCAATGGTAAAACATCGTTAATCCTCACAAGTGCCAGCTGAAATTACATCCGTATTTTATAAATTCTACAAAAATGTATTGCGCTCTTTTTAAATCAAGCCAAAACAGCTCATAAACAAAGCCAAAAGTCAAAGTGTCCGGCCCCAGTTTAAATTAGCATTGGGTGGCACTCATTTACATCAACAGCCCTGAGTCTCTGTGCAGGACAGTCCACATCGGTGTGGCAGGAGTCAGTACACTTCATAGGACTATCACCGTTGACTTTGCCCACACGTAGCGGTGAACCGAGCGAGGCACCCACGCAAGTCGAAACCCCCCTAAACCCCACGCGTGCTTCTCAGTAGCATCACCTCATAATAATAATAATGACGTGTGAAAAGACGCACCTGCATTGCCTTTTAAATGCGTTACAAAGCCTTCCCCCCTGCTCCACCGTCTGATCTATACGTCTCCTGGAACAGTGTCCCAGAAGCCAGTTGTTAGTGAAGAAAACATGTCTTGCGTTCCCCTGGCTTCAGCAAACATTCAATCTGGGTAAAGTCCCGTGGCAGGTCCACGTGTACGCTCTGAAATCGCAGAAAAGCTATTCCACGTGACATTTGAGTTGTAATTGAGCCATTAGTTAAAAAAAAAATCACAATTGATGCTGAACGATGAATGCCAGATTACATTTTATTTACAGGTAAATTATGAATTATATATTCAAATTAATTAATTTCTTAACCGAGCATGAAGCAGTGTGTATTAAATAGTCTGTAATCAATCAACACGTGCCCATTTGATCTAATTCATAAGTCATCAAAATTGTATTTTACAGTGGCGCTCATTGACAAGTGTAGACCCATCTTGCCCTCAATTAAATACATTCTTGAAACGGTCAGCAAATGTGAAGTTACCCAAACAGGTTTCATCGGTTATGTTCACATCTTTAGAATGAGGGACGTACAGTGCAGCATTACCTGCTGGAGGGCATGCCTGTTATTTGTAATGACACATGATGGTTCAATACTTACCATTTTGTGGACGTTAATGCCTTGTAGATTTCAATCCAGTTTTACCGACCCTTAAATCTTACGATGCCTTCATCTGTTCCATCTACAGCTTAACGTACCTTGTCTCTATGAATGGCAGTCCTCGGCCAAGAGCCTCTGCATGTTTCCCTGTAAATGTGTTCACCTACAGTTTGGCTTCACCTTGGTGAGGTGGCCAGGTGGGTTAATCCCCACGTCGAGACTCTGCATCAATGATGCTGCGCACCCCCGGGGTTTGAATTAATAGAGGGTGCCACGGTGGTGAGATGTTAACTACCTTGCCGGGTTTGCAGGAGGTCGTGGGTCCGATCCCGACCCTGACGCCTGCTGTATATTTAGAGTTTGCATGTTCTACCCGTGGTCGTGTGGATTTTTCTCCGGGTCTTCCTGTTTTTCCCTCCTTAATTTAAAAAAACGTGCGTTTAGATTATTTGGCTCCTATAAATGTCCACGTGATGAGCCACTTCGTTGAGCTATCATTTGTGGCCTGTTCACTTCTGAAAAATAGCTATACAGCTCAGTGGGCCTTATCTTGTAAAATAAACATTTGTTTAGTTTTAGAATACCCGGCCGTGATCCCAGCTGCAGTTCAAATTAATTTCTCAAGCGACACGATTTTTTTACTTTTTGGCACAAAACCGAAACGGAATGAAATTGTAACTTCTCACTGGCTGATGACCACAATCTAGTAGCCGTTGTAAGGCGGGTCCTTAAAGGATATCGGAATAAATAATGCGACGTCACTTGCGTGCCTCTGCCACAGCGTATCGCGTTGCTCTTTTCACGTGGCAGGTTTAGAGCAGCACAATACTCATGCTTGTGCATAGATGCTGATATAAGTTATAGCACAATGATACATTTTTTTTAATAGGCATCGTTGAATTTCGCACATTCTATTTAAAAATGAAGAACAGACTGATTAGCTCCCTATCACATGGATATAAGTACGTGTGATATTTATATATAATGTTCAAATCATTCACAAAAAGCACAGAGAACTGAATTATGGACAATTTAGAGGCCGGCCGATAAACCACTCACATGATTGGGTTTCACAGTGGAGTTTTTGTTGTCGTTGTTGCTATCATGGAACATATGCGTTCTATCAATCAGAACCTACAGCAAGAAAACAATGGGTAGCAAGCACCACTTTTACAGGCTTCTGTAGACTTTGAAAAGACATTTGATTAATTGCAAAATGTCATAGTCGTACAAACTTTCGAAGTTATAAAAAAAGTACTTCGAAGTTGTGAAAAACATCTGCAAAATAGCCACTTAACGTTACACAAAGTGAGCAACAAAATACCAAAATCAGAGGAGTCAAGTCAAGTCTTACATTTTGATACTGGCAAGGGAGGTCCCACAAGTAAATTTGATTTTTTTTGTGCCTGTTTGGCACAAATCTGCCACAGAGAAGCGAAGATCACCTGAGCAGGGCAATATTCTCCCTCGTCAAAAGGTCATTCACAGCAACGTTAAACTATTATTTTCAAACGGTTGGTTCGGAGGCAATAACATAAATTGCCAGAATATGACCCGCCTCAGATTTTCTGATGAGAGTCATTGCAGCAAACCTAATGGGACATTAAGAATAGTCACGCACAAGACATTGCTGCCGATGGTTGGACGAACATTCCGATTGTTGGACGAACATTCCTGGGAAACACAACAGAATTTGTCTGGGATAACTATTTGAAGGCGGATCATGATCATAATTATGAAAATAGAGAGGCAAATGAGAGCAGTTTTTGAAAATGTCTGCAAAAGTTTAATGTGAAACATAAAGAGCAACGTACTGATGTAATTAGTTTCGTGTGTGTGCTTTTTTTTCCAGTGCATATTACTTGCTATAACATACTGATCAGAAATGCAGGCACTTCACAAGGAACGTGGATCTCAGGGCAGAAAACTACACACAGTAGCATGGAGAGAAAATATAAACTTGTAAGAACAAATGCAAATGATAGGCCTCAACTTTATTGTTAATTGTGAGTAAGCAGACTTGTGCCCAGGCCGGACACATCGCTGGAAGGGTTGATGGTCAATGGGCAAGGATTGGTGATGGCATTGCTTCCAAAGGAGAGACACACTCAGGATGCCATGACCAGCCACGGAGATGCAGCGGTGAAATCTGCTCGTTTACAGGAGCGGTAGATGCTGGCATCACGTGACCACGATGGATAGCGTCAGCGCGGAGAGGCCTTCATCCATCAGTGGATAGATCATAAGTGATGATGCCTCTTAGGTGAGATTGCTGCAGCATGGTAATGAGTGCCTTGATCTCTGGATTTTGCCAAGAAGGGCTCTGAAGAGATCCAGCGAGTTCCGAAATTTGTGTGTTTATAATCTAGCCCAAAGCAACCACGAGGAGGGAGACGAGGCTTCGTTTCGTTTGAGAGGCAACAATCAAAGATAACCTTCTCAAACTGAAGATATTCTGCGCAGGAAACAGCCCTGTTAATTATTAATTAATTTGTGCAGCTTCATTCTTTAATTCCAAAGTTGCTCCTTGTCAAAGAGAGTTATTCTGCTCACATTAAGAGCCCATGCTTGGAATATATTATTCCCTCAAATAAAACTGACACGTCTTGACACTTGCTACTTGATAAGAAACAGTGCTGAACATTAAATAATGGAGGCACCATGAGCGAACCCGCAAAAAATGTCATTGCTATTTTCTGACTTGTATATTTTTTTTTAAGTTGGTGGTAGTCTGCTAAACAAAAACCACAGTGTTAATAAAATGCTGTTTACATATAATAGACTATCTTTTCAAGCACTGACCGTTTTTAAAATCGATGGTTCTTCTTCTTCAGAGCTCTGCGGGCAAAGCCATTGCCTAAAACTTCATGTTGTATTCTGTTTTATATGTTTACACAGTGCTCATGAACATGGTGACAGTGGTGATGTTATATCCGGAGTGCTAATAATACCATACCTACAGTATTTGAACTTCGATGCATTGATTGGTTTAAAAAAAAACACACATGACATGCACGCTATTGGCCGAACGTTCTGCCCTTCTCTTTGCAAAGTTAAATTAATATTTGTTTCCGATGTAAAGGTGGAACAGAGGTGTAAGGTACGCTTTCAAAGGCATCCTTTTGTGAAGAGCGACAGTGTCGGTAACCGACACTGATGACGTTCAGAGTCGCACTGAGACGAATTCCGTCTTGGTCACGTCTGCGTTTTTCTTAAAATCGGTTTGCAGGCCGGTGCGGCGGGCAAAAATGGTGCCACGACAGAGTTCACACTGTTTGAGGAGGACCCATGGAAGCGTGAAAGCTGAACGGACAGCGGAAACGGATGAATGAGGGCGCAGATGCAGGACTCCTTCCCACTGACCCCCCCACACTCCCAGCCCGAACCCAACTTCTCTCCACTTCTCCTCCGTGCCGTCCCTTTTTTTTTTTTTACCCCAAAACCTCCCCACACGCGCGCGCCGGGATGTGCACCACTTGGGGCTGCGCCGGTCGCTGGGTTTTGTAAGCCGTGACATCGCTGGTGTCAGAGCTGACCCGTGGCATTTTGTTCTGTAAAAGTAAAGAAATTACCATCGTCACTGGATTATAAGATGGTCCGGAAAGTGAGATGCTTCCCAAAACATTTATATAAAATCTGGTCGCACACGCACGCATGCATAACAGATTAATGAGACGCATCCCATAACGGGTTTTAAAATCGCATGGGAAAAAACGCGGGTGATAATCTGGACAATGCGCTCATATAGATTATATTTAAATACAGGCGTAAGAGTCCACTAAAACCATAATACAATGACACAAGACCATTATATATCAAGGTGCATGGCAGTCGATTTAAATATATGAACGTTAATTAAGTAAATTTGTCAATGCAATCGTAACACAAAATGGCAGGCTGAACATGTAAAAGTGTCTTCCTGTCTATACAAGCTTAGAGCAGTGTTCTATCTCTGCAACCATGCGCCAATGATGGAAATTCCACACCCTTATGGCAGGGACCAGTCTACTGCGTTGAACTGAGCAGATGACTCTTTTACTGGAATACACACCCAGGACCTTCGCATGTGAGCTGAGTGACAGCTAAACATGGCCAGATTTTACGAGAGCAAAACTGTAACATTGCAAATTAAAAATTTATGTCGCCAATTAGCTCAGATGATTATTCCATGTTTTTGAGATTCTGGGTTCAAATCCCAGGCACTGGTCCCCTGAAATGTTCATCCACATTCCCATGTGTGGCGGTTTTAATGGACTCAGCCCTGTGGTTTTACCCCACTGCCAAGGCAGTGCCAAAAAAGTAGCTTAAATAATAATGAAAACTTACTTCATTAGTGAATTTGGCACTTTTTCCCAATTGAGATTTTAGATTTTGGTTTTTAAATATGTGGCTTCCTTTCTAGGCAATGACAACTTATATTTTTAAACACAAGTAGGCTTTCGCGACCAATATTACAATTCATAATTGATCTTTTTTGGGGTCAGAACGCATAAATAATAAAATGTGTATCATAAATCCTCCGGCACCCGACACAGCCAATTAATAAACTCGTCACGTGATGAACAAACGTGGCTAATTAATTACTTCCACAGCAGCGGCAACGCCTGTGCATCGGAGAGCGACTTCGCAAACATTTGACGGCCACTGCAATGAAAACCTGCGGTGAAATGACCCAGGGCACTTTCCTGACCATCGGAGAAGTCCCGTTCACGAAATTTCTTCATTCAGTCTGCCATCAACGTGTGGCTGCCCCCGCACCCCGCGAGCGGCTCGTGTGAGGCGCAGGGCAGCGCCCAGGCGCGTCGACCCGCGCCGCTCTGCGCCCCGTGCGACGTCAAGGCTGCATGCGGTGCTCGCGTGCCCCCAACGTGTTAACCCCCTGACGGCCCTCTCCAATGTCGGCATTTCCCACTGCCGAGATGCAACGGAGGACCGTCTCCTGAAGCGTTCATTCGATTTGCGTTTAATTCCTCCTTTGTTTCGGTTCATTCTTTCAACAACAACAACAACAACAAAAAAATCAAAACATATCAGCGAGATCCGTTGGTGTTTTGACGTGTGCTTTTTAAGGAACCTTTTTTCCTAAATAATAAAAAAGTTGTATTAATAAATACGCTTTTCGATGTGGGCAGGGTGCCACAGTGAACGAATGAGCAGCAGTAGCAGCCATTTTTAATCGACGTTGAGGTTAAACGGGGAGACATTCAGCAGAATCCAATCGTGAGCTTGCGGAGTCTGTATCGAGATGTGCCCGGGCAGGGCGATGTTAAAGCACACACAGCAATAACCGAAGCTACATAATAGCGGTGCTCACTTCAAAAGGCATTCCTTATTAAACCTCAGGCTGCACATTTTATAGGCTGGCGTTGAGAGCCAGCGAGCTTAGTGGTCAGCACGCTTGCAACTCGACTGCTCAACCCAAGGGTTAACAGTTTAATTCCGCTACCGGGCACTTGGCAATTTCTGCTGCGGAGTTACCAAAGCACACAGCCTGCCGGACAATGGACATTAAAGACCCCCGAGGCAACACGTGCAAAAATAAGCCATTTGTGTGCCAGTGGCCTAACCTCAATTTCAATCGTTTTAAACGATAACACCTGGTTGCAAAGGGTGTCAGTCGTCCCAAGAGAGGTTTAAATAAAGGGACGTTGAATTTACATTGCATTATTGAACTACTTAAGATGGGAGTCACTGGTAAATACAATGGTGCAGTAGCATATATATGCATATCTTGTTTTTTTCTGTATTAATTTAACTTGGGTTACTTTAGTGCAATGTTTAATTTACACAGCAGATTGCACTTCCTTTCATTTAATGGACTAGTTATATATATAAAACACAACATTTACTTAAAAGCAAACGTGTGAATGTTACTAAAGCAATTCAGGTCAGTGTATTCCATCGCAGAATAATTATGTTTTCATTACAATTTACTGAGGACATGAAATAGGTATTTGATTTTTTTTACCGGTACATTGCATAAACCACGCACGTGCAAATTTTTTAGCTATTTCCCTTTTTTACATTTTCTTCTGGTAACCTTCGCTTCTGTAAAAAACTAAATCTTTGCATTGTAAAAGCGCGAGCAATGCAACGCAACAACAAACAAACAAACAAAACCACATCACGGTGACGCTCCAGCGGCGGAATTGACCGCAGTGCCCGGTAAACACCGAAAACGCCGTTGGACGTGACAGCACAACGGCGCTCGACCATCTTATCTCGCCTGCTCCACCCCACCGGTGTCCGCACCGCGTCGCCGGACCGGCGCGTCGCCGACACCGCTCGGGGGGCTCGAACTGAGTTCCGTCGCCGGCGTCGCTGGCGACTTTGCACCCCCGTTATTGAGCGACGCCTCACCCCAGATTTCATCCCACCCCCCCCCCCCCGCGTGTGAGTGTGTGTGTGTGGGAGGGGGGGGGATCAGTTGGCAATGCCGGGCCACATTCACAAGAGAGGAAGGGGGCGGTGAGGGGGGGGCGGTGTGCGTGTGTGTGTGTGTGTGGAGACGTGCCCGCTTCCGAGCATCCTCGTCCTATGTTCCGTCTTTCTCCCGCGCATGGCTTGCTTGCGACAACGACGCGCACGACTGCATGCAGTGCGTGGACATTTTGCTTGCATAGGGCATGGTGAAGCAACTGTGTTGGGTATTGTTACAAGTGGGAGGATGGGGGAGCACATGAAGGGGTGCGGGTCTCCGCTATTTACGACGGGCAAGCGAGCGGCAGTAATGAGCTGGGGGGGGGGGGTCTGTCTTTCAGCGCCCGAGTGACGTCCCCTTTTAGTCAAAAAGCCGTGGAGTCTCTGAGTGGAGGAGGGGGGGGGGGTGTAGAGAAAGAGTTTCGTGTTTGTCATTGGCACGCATGCCTGCATGCATTAAGCCATCGGACGCATCCGCACAATCTAATGAGTTGTCCTCGTCGCCGCTGCTTTATTTTAACTTGTGCTGCGGCAACCGTCAAGCTCCGTGCAATGGATGGCAAAAAAAAATCGGTCCTGGGAAAGCGAATCGTGGCGTTGTGCTCATGCGCATCGCGCGTGCCGTGCTGCACGCGTCTCGCACGCATTTCTGGCAGCGCACGGCGCAATCGGAGTGGTGGTGCAGTGGTTACACTTCGCCGCGGTCCGCATTGACCCGGTTCCAATTTGGAATCTGGACGTGGTCTTGGCATCGCATAGGTCAACTCATAGGCCGTAAAATCAGTACCTGCCGATTTGCAGTTGTTAACGTCGGCACTGGAGAGATGAACGCGGCTGAGGCATCCCCATTGCACCGAAGCGACATCCAGTTTTGGCCTTGCTGCCCGTAACGGGCGCTCGCTAACAGTAACAGCCCTGACAGCCTAAGCCAGGATAAATGGGGATAAGTGAATGCATACTGCATCTTCATATATGCAGTGCGCACACACAGACGTGTGTTAGCAATACATATTGCATATATGCTGGACAGTTTATGCAAGGGATGATAAAAAAATTTAGTAATGAGATATTGAAAAAATATGAACCAACCGAATGTGAATTTGGATGCAAACACTTTTATACCTTGGCAACAATACAAGAATAATGCATACATGCGTGAACTTGTGTGGAAGCACAACATGCACATTGTATTTAAAACAATACATGCGCAAACTAACGGAATGGCGATCAACAATAGTAAACCTCAGTGTGGTGCGGTGGTTGGCACGCTGCACGATTAACACCACGAACCCGAGTTCAATTCCAGGCCACGGCTAAGTTCAATTCCAGGCCACAGCTAACATCAGTGGCGAGTGATATCTGAACTAGTGCTGGCCCCCTATACAGCCTTCACCATCTCCCATTAACTAGCGTGGTGAAGTATGGTCAAACACCCCCCCCCCCCCATGATTGATGTGGCACGTGGAGGCCCGCTTCCAATTGTGGATTGAGAGAGGGCTGTCGATTATGATTTTAATCGAATGCAGGTAAATTAATGTTATAGGTGTTAAGACTGCATATATTTAAGATCTGTTTTAAAACTTGCAGGCCTTCCATTGCCTCCGTATGCTGTGCATTCAGTTGGTCATAATTCAACGTCTTTCCCAAACCGTTTCATCTCTTTGGCCCGAGTAGGTGATGGCAATACCGCATTCCCGTGGAAGGCACCAGTATTTTCCAGAGTGCAATCGCTTGTATGCTTCCCACAAAGTGGTACTCATTTAACCGACCCGACAGAGATGATGAGCCAAACTCGCAGCTTTGAAAATGCAAGTCAAGTACCCTAACTTCAGCACCACCCGACTGGAGTTTATGCACACACACACGCATGCCTGCCCGTACACCGATTAATGCACAGCAAATACATACGGCACGCCCGTATGCATTTATACGTGTATTTTTCACAAGGCTTTCTTTGCCGTGAGAAAATGTCATCCATTGCCGTGCCCCCCGTGTGCGTAAAGCGCTACAGAACGCTTGGGAGAATTCCACCACAAACCCTGGCACGGAGAGAGCCGTGTTTGTGCACACGGTGGCTCAATAGAGTTGCCCATGCATGCACAGTCCTGAGCCTTGTGCCATGCAGAACGTTTCCACGCTCACACAGGCTGCGGCCTAACACTTTCTCCTGTGAGCTTGAGGACATTTTTTTTTGCAAGCTCTCGAAGCCGATGTTGCGTCGCACCCCTCTGATAAAAAAAAAATTGTGACAGAACATTTCAAATCGCTGAAACATTTTATTTTCTTTACACAGCCCAAGTTAATGATGGACAAGTGTTGACATGGGTACATGTACAGGCCTTTTTGCCAGTCCACTGCTGGATGGATGAGGGCCTCGCCACACCGCGCCGGTCGTGGGTTGTTTTTTTTTTGCTGCATCTGTCTGTCACCACCCGTGGTGTGGGTGCGGAGTAGCGAAGGTGGATAGCGTAGATGTGGGAGCAGAGAAAGTGCAGGACAGCAATGTGTTTTGCTGCACTGGCCCTCCACATGCGGTTGACATGTAAAGACTAAATCTATGTACAAGACAGTTATTATCAAGTCAAGTAGAAGTGTCTCTCTGCTCTGATGATGAGCCATTTGGGGGTGAGCTCATCTACATTGGCAAACCCAGAGCCAGTGGGTGGAAATTCCACATTCTTATCCTAGGTGAGAGGTTCTGCAAAGTTGTACCCATTCTTTTAATTCGGCCCTGGCCAAGACTAAAACTAAATATTTGAGTTTATGGAAAATAAGTTGGGTCAGTCCAGTCTTTGGCTGCATTTCGCAAATTCATATTTTATTAATACGCATCGGACATATGGTTATCATTTCAAAATACTTTTCAAACGTTAGACTAAACTCTCAGACTGTGGCCGTGTTATTATTAAGCCCCACAGCTTCTGAGTTTAATATCCAGAACATTTTTAACACGAGAACTGCAGGTAGGTATATAGTCTTATTCTTTGCCATAACTGATTGCTATAGCCATTAGTTTTATTCTCAAGGAATTGAGGAAAGGAAAAAAAGTGTGAGTGAAGTGGTATTGTGAATAAGGTCTGCTTTCGTTTTTTTTTCTCAAATAAATGTTTGAAGCGATTTGAAATTAGATTCCTCAACCACGGAAAACCCTCCTTAATAGAGGAATCTGAATTGTGAACTAATTATCCCATTGTTATTATTATAAACACAAGCACAATGTATTTCTCATCATCAATTCAGGTGCGTTATTTTTTTGACCATTTTCTAATTTCGCACCACCTGCGTACAAACTTTTTTTTTACTGCATTACACTTTTCACTTCAACGGCAGGGGAAATTATAAACCCCATTTTACTTCAAGAATAATAAATTCTGTGTTGATTTGCCCATTTGGCGATACTCAATGAAGAAGTATTAATATTATTCAGTGCTATTTTAGGAAAACTGTATTGTGGATCGCCACATTATAAACACAAATCGTGTATTTTTTAGTGTTCAATATTGAAGACAAAAAAATTCTGAGTAGATAAAAAAGATAAAAAAACACACAAAAAATATATCGTGTAGTTCAATTGCGTCATTTAGCCATAGACACTGTTGTAATATAGATTTGTTACGTAGTCACGCGTGGAAGTTACAAAGTTAATTTTGAGGTTCGTGCAATAGTCGTGTATTAGATGCACACACACACACACACATGGGAGGGAGTAAAATAGTTTTGAGAACGGCAGTGGCACCAATCTTAGTTGAACGTTGAGTCACAGAGTCCCTTAGACAAACGATCAGTGGTGAATGCCCATTGACGGCCCCTGGGCCTGTGGTGGAAATCCCACGGTTTTTGTTTGTGTGCTCCGGTTAATAGTTGTCCGTAAATTGACCAAATTTGTGACTTCTGACAAGTTTCTAATCATTTGTTTCGACCCCAGAAGAAGAGATGAGTCGACCCTGACCGGGATTTGAACTCGCAATCTTGTGAATGTGAACGATCGGCCGTATATTAATGAGGGTGCATTTGTAAATGACGTTACGAGCCTCAGGCACCCTTTCAAAGTGTCATTTGGCAAAATGCATTGACTGCCCCGCGTATACGATAATGCACACACACACACACAATACAATTCAATGGTTAACGGTAGTGTTATAGAAGGCATTAGATACATAATTTACATATCAGTGCTATGTTAATTGAATAAACGTATTGTGAAGTATCGTTGCATGGAGAGCTACATAAAAAAATCCCATATTGTGTACAATGTGAACATAATGTAGGTGGAATGTATAGTGTTTACGTTACCTAATTCACTGCCAAGCGAATTACCTTTTCACCCAAAATGGTTTTCAGTCCCTTTCCCGCGTGGATAAATTGCAGCAGCTCTGCCCATTGTGCCCATTGAATACAGGAAACCGCATTGAGTGAGTGGCATTAATGTGTGGCTTTCTCCCGAGCATTCCGCTCTCCTCTCACATGCAAATTAAACGCTTAAAAGGGAGTTGGCAAACATCCAAGAAGCCCCCTGCAAAAAGAGTCTTACAGACTCGGTCTTTCATGGGCAAGGATATTTAAACAATGAAGTGAAATTGATATTGCATCTTATCCTTAGCCTTGCATATTTCATTCCTACAACCTTACTTTTTTTTTACGATCGAGTATCGTTTCTAATGATGCAGTGCATATAGTAACTGAACGGCCATCAGATTTGATGTTCATCATCGGTCTTGATCAATCCACTGCTGGATGAAGACCTCCCATAGTCACTGTCATCTCAAGGTTATGCGATGTAACAATCTGCTTAGCACCTGCAGACGAGCCGATTTCTTCGCTCCATCTCCTTGGGTGGCGTACTTTCCGATGATGTCATTCATGTAAATTGAATTTGCCCTTTCTGCAAAAATTGCTAAATCATCAAATCGCAGTAAGTAATTCAACAAAGATCATTTCAATGGGTGGCCCGAAGGCAGTAGTGACAATTCCGCATTCCCATCGTGGGGGGCCATTCAACCCACAAGAAAGCCACAAAGTAGGACTACATTTAATCTTCTCTGGAAAGACGATGGGCTGAGTTTAACTCCCTTCCACCAGTATGTGAATTCGCCATCTTCTGATTATAGATTACACACTCAATTGGTAAATATGGAAACATTGCATCAATCCTAAGTGAAGAATGCAAAACTATGCTCATAAAAAATATTCTGACAAAAGAATTCCGCACCACAGGCCATGCATGAGATGTGCCAATGAATGAGACATCAGTAGAAGTCCTGCACTGCCATGCTCCACGCTGGCAAGAATTGGGTGTTGTTTATGAATAGCGAGGCTGGGTAGCCAACTGGTCACTTCCCATCACAACCAGGCTAGTTTCCACTACGTTCACATTTTGATCACTATCAATGCGCAGTAATATCTGTAGGACACTGCCAACATGTAGACTGCCATGTAAGTGCACATAAAGCCTTTTTTTATTGCAGTCATATAGCAAGCTTCAAATTGTAAAATTACTGTCATTTTTTTTAACTGTGCGGTTACGTTGACGGAAAATGAACAAATAATAGAAATAATTAATCAGCATCTTCCTTTTTTATTGATTGACCAGCTATTCAATAATTAAACCGCGATTTGATCATTAAACCAAGTAATACCCCATTATCAATTATAAAGGTTTCCCCTTTGCACAGGGGACCTGGTAGAAAAAATTGATGGCAATAAAATAACAGATATCTGTCCAAAAAATGTATACAAATTCGCCGTTTAGGAATCTTAAAGAAAACAGTTATCTCAATTTGTTTATTACCTGGTTGATTAAAAGACATTTAAAAAATGTGAAATTTACTCAAATCAATTATTCTTTGCAATCAACACGAGTGCGTTTTTAACCTCAAAGTTCGTGAATTTTTTCCAATCCAACGGTATAAGTCCTGCATACCCACAGCTATTACTGCTGAGGTCAAAGTGCAAGCCTTCATTTATCTGGGGCTTCAGAGGCTCAGGGTGGGTCTCCTATTGGGCGCGATGAGAACTGTTGACAGAGCATAATTGTGCAGTGAGGAAACATTGCCTCTGGCTTCAAATTCCCCCGAACAGTCGGAAAATTGGCTGTCGCCTGATTGAGAAACTGAAATTGCAACAAAAACCTATTAAAATAAATTACAATCTAGAGGTCACCATGGCCAGCGTTGGTGGTGTCACCAAACCTTGCCAATCACTCCATTGTCGTAGTGCGACCATGCATGAACAATGCACAACGGACAAACGCAGATGTATGTTGAACTTAACTTGCACCGTACGTAGCCAACCATGCTGATCGGAGGTATGGGGGAAGGACGACAAACTAAATACAAAAAGCAATTTTAAAGGAATTAGTTTTTCAATCTAGATATTAAAGTGCACAGCTCCATTGGCTTCCTAATATCAGAAGGAAGAGCATTCCAAGTGGCCACAGAAGCGCATATGAAAGCATGTGATGCGACGAACCACAGATGATCTCTCAGTGGCCAATGTCACCCACAAACCATGTTAGAAGATGAAATACCGCTCATTGTCGTTCCTAATCAGCCGCCAACGACAACGCCAAGATATGAGCTCCATTGCTTTACACATATTGTAGACGGAATGTTTGTTGTTCAGTCAATGCCGCTCGGTTTCCTGTATTGAATTGGCATAAAATATTATAATGCGTAAAAAGAAAAAAACTATACTTGCTTCTGCTTTTGTGAATTCCTGAAAAGTGCTTTTTTCTCGCAGCTGACCTAAAGCAAATTCATCGTTCGTACATGCCAATAACAATTATGACTCGATAGTTCTGACCGATGACATGTTGGTAAACAGCACCTTGTAGCAAAAAGGCTGGGGAAAAAAAAACAAGTCTCCCAATAATGATGGTTAATCATAAGACGCTGGGTTAAATGTAATTCCAGAGTATATGATTTAAATCGATGGGAACTCTTTCCATAATGAAACTTCACATTATAAATGAGGAGGAAATGTTGAAGCCCTATTACCTTCAACAAAATTGAATTATTGCCTCAATACATCAAAAACATTCAATTGGCAAGCCTCAAATTAAATGCTAAATATGTGTGGTTCATTGAAATCAGCCTATCACAGGCGCTGTAAATGTTAAAACTGGTCAGGGCATCTCGACCAATAGAGGCACAGTGCTAAGAAAAAGGTCACATTCCCTGCAGTACATCTTCATGTGGAAATTCCCTATCAAGTGATAACTTTAAAGTGCTTGTATCATGATGAATTTGCAGATACTCGCTTGTTGCCTGTCCGTTCTGATGAGAAGAGTGGACATCGCTTTTCAGTTGATTTCATGGAACTGGTGGATGAGTGATGCAGGGAAAACAGATACATATCTATCGTGGAATTTGAAGTCTATTTTGGCGGTTGCCGCAAACACAAACAAATTTTGAATTTGAACACCCGTTGAGAGGGACACATATATATATACACCTAGCCACAAATCCACTCCTTAAAATCAACGCGGCGATTTTGCTTGCAAGTGTGTAACCGTGTCGGTTGATCGTGACGGGTTGTCTTTTTTTGCGTCAGTTCTCGCTGTTTGTGTCCCCCGCGCCGATGTGTGACGTGATGCTGTTGTGTAAATTGTAGGTTTAACGGAGGGAAAAAACAAAAACACACAGCGAGACGGAGAGAAACCGCCTGCACGTACAAAAAAAAGCAACTGCGACACGCGAAGCCAACGCTCTGAACGCTGGGAGCACGGAGACGCAGCGCACGGGCAGGAGTGGTGGTGGGGGGGGGGAGGGCAGGGGGTGGGGGGGCCGCGTAGTTTTTTTTAGCGAAACATGAGCACACGGGGGGGGGGGGGGGTGGGTGAGGTGGTGGGGGAGGGGGCCCATTCGTGAATCGTTGTTTTTTCCATTTGTATTTCACGTTTTGTAAAGTGGTGTTCGTGGCGGTGCGGGGTGGTTTTGGTTTTCAAAAACTGTGAGGGGGGTGGGGGGGGGGGAAACACCAGCAACAACCGCAGACGGTTGGGGAAACCAGCTTGGGATTGCGTGATGAATATATACGAATGACCTCTCATTACGTTTAACAGTTCAAAGTGCCTCTTGCACGTCTATAAGGATACGGTGATAACGAGCACGACACAATTTAAAAAAAAAAAGACACAACAGTTACTGTTTGAGTCAAGTTTGGGAGAGGGTTTTTGCTATGGGCGAAAGCGGAAATAGAAAAAGTTCCATTCTCGACCGAAATTGTAGATTGAATTGATCATTTAAAAAAATACAAATAAAAGGCCGGCTTCACCAAAATAAGTCACGAGTTACAAGAAAACTTCTCACGCAGTGCTGCACGGTATTTTAAGCGGCGCGAGTAGATTTTTATGGGCTTTTTAAACACATTTTACGGGCATTGGTGTGTTTACGGTACTTTTAATAAGACTTTTCCCAGAGTGCTCTTCACACTGAAGTGTTGCAAGTACTGTGCTGTGCGGTTTACCGTAAATGTGTACACCCACAAGTGTTAGCATTTTATGACATGTCCACATGCATTGTGATGCACGCGTATGCATGTACCGTATATGTGTGTGAAAAGGGTCTCGCGTTTGCTTTCCTACAAGCCAATTGGTAAGCGTTCATCTCAGTTGATGGTAATGAGTCACTGGTAAGCAAAAAAAATCGACATTCCTATGACGGGGACCAGTCTCTCCAAAGAAACAACCACTACCAACCATCTCTCTGCTCAGTCCTCCCCCACAGGAGATGCTCATTTTTCCAACCCCTGATCCACGGCAATGATGATGATGATGATCGGTCATAGTTGACCCTGGTCGTGATATTAACTCACTCGATGATGATGATGATTGAACGCCCAGATATTTTGAAACTGAGCTCAAATCCACACATATATATACAGTACAGTATATGTGAAATGCATTTTAAAGGTTACTTCTGGTTTTTTTTCTCGCTGGAAAATATCAAAGGTGTTAAACCGACTTATTTTGTATAAGCTGGCGATGTTTTATTTGTCTGATGATTAGATTTTAAAAAATATCTCTTTTTCATATTACATTGCAATCATTAACCCTACTCACACTCTCAAGTTTCAACAAGTTTGTAAATATGATGTTAAAAATCCTAATTGTTGTTTTTTGTTTCGTTCGAATAATTCCGCTAGATGGAATTATTTTGCACATGGTTTATCAGACAAACACGCAAAGTCGATGTCGTTTTTAATAATAATAATAATGATGATGAATAATCCGTGTGTTTTAGGTGACTTGTGCAGATCTGTTAAGAGCACACGTTTAGTGGCATAGGACATTGGCGTAGCGTTTGAATAGCATTGTTTAGGTACTGAATGTAACGAACTGCAGGTGTGAGATCGCTTTTCTCTGGCTCGTTTGTAAAAGTTCGTGGACGCTCATTTGCATCGTCCGCACGGCGATGCTCCCGCAGAAACGTCATCAATTTCACAGAGAAGCACAAGTTGTTCACATTATTAATACGAAAATTAAATAAGTAAACATTAATTGCTGGCGGCTGATAGTTATTTATACAAGATTGTAGCGGTAGTGCGTAAGGATTCACATCGCCGAGTAGGGATTTTTTTTCTGAATAACAATTAAAATATACAAACTATTGTCGATCCTGCATATCCGCTCCACAGAGCAATGACGACGGGTGTTATTTAAGTCGTCTGAAAATGAGTCACGGAAAGCTATTTTAATTGAAAAACGATTACTTCATTGGGTGAAATTGATCATTAGATAAATTACATATGTTGGTCCAAACCGAAATGGTTGGCGGTGCGGTACAAGCCCCTTCTTATGCTGCTCAACGCAAGCACTTGTCAGGCTTACTTGGCGCGGTGTGACCTCGACATATGACCGGTTCTGTGTCTTGACACCAGCACTGCAACTTAATGTTACCGGGGCTAGGGGCGAGATATAGGTGACACACTTGAACCAATTCAAGGGCAGCAAATGAAACGACAAAAAAAAAATATATGAAAAACGTCTTGATCTGGTTAAGAAGAAAAAAACTTGCACACCGAAATTAATAGCGAACGATACTGTAATTCCTTTCAATGCGGGTAACAATGGCACGACAAGAAGCACACGAGCGTGGGCTCTGCTCAGAAAGAGAGGCCCCGTTTGAGAAACGCCTCAAGTTACAAAGGTTACGGTGCACAACTTTCGAATGGCATTCCAGAAAATCCACGTTGCAACCGTTTTCTACGTTCGATGAAACAAGCCTTTGTAAAAGCTCCTCTCTATGCTGTGGCTTTTTTTCGGAATGGACACAGGTGTTTGTTACTTGTTTTTATTTTGTAAAACTCTGGCAAATGGACTTCATTACAAGTGATGTAGTTGTACAGGTAAAAGGATAGTGTCAAAAACCACAGTGTTTGATGTGAATGACAAACAAACAAAACGGCATATGTTCGTGTTGCAAACCTTAGGTAGGTACAAGCGTATATTGATGTGAAGTTAAATGTAATTTATCTTTATGGGACATTACAAATTGGATTGTGGTTAACGCAGTTTATGTTTTTTTTTATTGTGGATGTTTGAACAGTGCATACAAGGGATATTTGTACTGCATATTTTCATTGGAAATGTACCGTATATGCTGAAATGAATTAACCGTTCTTAATAAATGTCTAGATATGGATGTGAACTTCCAAATGGTATAATTGCTCTTTCGTCGACTCAGTCTGCTTTCACAATCAAATTCTGTTCCTCATCAATGACATTAAATTCTGGGTTCTTGCGCAAGAAGGTACAGATTTCGATTTAAAGCTTTCGTGACTGCAAGGATTCATCTTCTTTGGTTCTTTCGGTAAAGTCACGTAGAATGAGAATAAAATAATAAAATAAAATAACACAATAAAATTATCACGACGTTTCAGACAGTCTCGTCCCTTCACCTGATGAAGGCCACTTGTGTTGTGGCCGAAACGTCGGGAGAATTTTATTCTGTTATTTTATTTTATTAATTTATTATTTTATTCTCATTCTACGTGACTTTACCCGAAAGAACCAAAGAAGAAGATGGTACAGGTCAAGATGAAGCCCTGCCATATCATGCCCACGCCACTGCTAACAATAATTATTTCAACTTGTTACGCCACGCACTGTATTCGCTCACTCGTGAAGAGAGGGAACGACTCAGAGGTGCGAGCAACCGCAGACGGGCAGGAAGGCAGCAACCAGGCTGTGAGCAGGGCACCAACAATTGCCCAAGTTCCGTGATCCTCTGTATATTGAATTTGTTTTCAGCCAATTAATGAGTTCGCACGCATGGGGAGAAAACTGGATCACCCAGAGAAAACCCACTTGGGCGAGGAGGCAACACTCTATCATACAGATGGAACAGATGGAGGTTAGTCCACATTTTCAGGACCGCATTCTCCCCGGTGAGCCAGGGTTTGGCACCTCGACGCCCACGTGGAAAGGAGTTTCACAACATTTGTGTGATCCACCGACCCTCGCTGCCTCCACAGCGCTGGAGCAACAGGCCACGTGGCGTAGCCACTGCTGCCCGGCACGGGCGACGGAGCCTTCCACGAGAGGGAGCTCGAGAGTGCCCCCATTTTAAAAGGGGATTTTTGGCCTACTCTTTCATGCCGACCAGACATCTTGGAATAGGTGGGAGTAACTTACACTTGATCTGAGCACACGCAACAGTGCC